TCAGACCATGATATGAATAACATAACAGTTTCAATAATGTACCAGTAAGGCCTTCTCACGGACCACCGTGAGAATTGGGGGGGGGGGGGGCTTCAGCCTGGTTGGCAGCCTGGTTGGCAGCTAGGTTGGGAGACCAGTGTTCAAACCTCTGCTCAGACATAAAAACCACTGGGTCACTGCGGGGAAGTCACAGTCTCTTTATTTCAGATGTAAAGCTAAAACCTGCTCCGAACGAATCTTGCCAAGGAAGTCTTGTAATAGGTTTGCCGTAGGGTTGCCTGAAGTCAGAAATGACTTGAAGGGACATAACAACAACAGCAACAGTGGCAACAACAACGATTTCAGTATATTCCAAACATGGAATATTTACCTGACATTATGAAGTATATTGGAAGACTGGTCACACATGTGATGGAATCTCATAAGCAATGGATGTTAACGAAAATACTTTAAAAAAAAGTTTGCCTTTTAATTTGGAGACAGGAAACAGTACAGATAACCCTGCAGTGACCTTTTTGTTTTCAAAACCATAAAGCTGTTTTGCTATTGCCTTAGATTTTTAAATGACAATAATTACTGAGGCAACATAAATCAGCAGCAAAAGTGCTTATGTGGTAGTTTTAAAAGTTTTTTAACACAGTAGTTTCTAAGACACATGCCACGTGAGTAGACTGTCCAGTAGGGATTTCATAACTTATTACAGAATTTACTGTAGCCTTCAGCCATTTTTGTTGAGTCAGAAGGAATGCTTGCAAGTTGTATGTTTTACTTCTATGATAATTAATAGCTTTGTACCAGGAGATTAACAGAGGAGATTAACCAAAAGGTGTTGTCAGTCTCATGTACCGAAGAGGTGTTGTCAGTTGTTTCATTATTAGCAGTCTACATTCTTAACTTTTTAAAAGAGGTACATATCAAATTGGCATGGAGAGACTGCATCTTTCTGGGATCAAGTTGATGCACAGTCCCCAACTGTCCTGATTTGACAAGGACAGCTCCATCCCACTTTTTCAGCTGTTTTTCTCTTTTCTCACTTTCCCTCTTCTTAAGCTTGCTTCAGTTACTGCAAACTGTGTTCAAAATGCAAACGTACTTTGCACTCAGTTAACCCACGGGGTGGGGATAGGGATAAATGGGCAAATCTTGCCCTTCCCAGTAGCCTCAGGCAAAAGCAAACTGCTGCAGCCTTTCCTAGGTTGTATGTAGAGGTAAAGGTTTCCCCTGACATTAAGTCCAGTCATGTCTGTCTCTGGGGGTTGGTGCTCATCTCCATTTCTGAGCCAAAGAGTCAGCATTGTCCGTAGACACCTCCAAGGTCAGGTGGCCAACATGACTTCATGGAGCACTATTACCTTCCTGCCAGAGCGATATTATTTATTATTATTATTTCCCACATTTCTAACCTGCCCTTCTCAACCCTCAAGGGGGGGACTCAGGGCGACTTACACCGGCAACAATTCCATGCCACAAGATAATACAAATATAAACAAATATAACAACAGTTTAAAACAGTAAATAGAACATTAAATTTAAAACACATTGCCCATTGATCTACTCACATTTGAATGTTTTTGAATTGCTAGGTTGGCAGAAGCTGGAGCTAACAGTGGGAGCTCATGCCGCTCCCCAGATTCAAACCTGCGACCTTTAACCCACTGTGCCACCAGGGGCTCCTCTAGGTTATATATTCATCCTCATTAATAATTTTTGCCATCTTGACCACACTCTGATGTTGTTTGGTCACACTTGTTCTGCTTTTAATTTATGACATTTTGGAGCATATGTCTTGTTGTTTATTGTTGTTTTGTTGTTGTTTTGCAGTCATACATGAGTCATACCAATTGATTCTCTAATCTGCCAAGGCTGTGATCTCCCAAGTCATACGTAGCCCACTGGTCCTGATATAGCCTGTTAAGCAGTTGACAACTTTGGTGTTCCCACAATCTTTGACTCCTTCTACATAGCAGAATAAAATCCCACATGTTCTGCTTTGAATTGGAATATATGGCAATGTGGATTTGGATAACCAGTTCAAAACAGATATTGTGGAATTTTCTGCCTTGATATTTTGGGTTATATGGCTATGTGGAAAGGCCCTTAGACATGCATGAAAAAGTAAGGGCAGATTGAGATTGTCATGGCAGAGGCTATGCACACTACACGGCCTTTCCTACTATTTCCCTAAATTGGCCTATTGCCCTCTGGTGTGGTGAAATGTGCAGTTATATTGCCAGTCCCCAAGTGGCAAAGTTGCTCAGTATTGGACCATTTCATGGGGAAAAGAGAGACCTTTCATCTGCTTCTCAAAACATCTTCAGAAATTGTGGCTGTATTGTTCCCTCGCAGGTTGATGTGCCCTTATGCATTTGGCGTGATGAATTACAAACCGTTCTAGCTTGTTGTTCAAATGGCAAGGACAGTTAACAGCAAGCAATTTATGATTTCTTCTTTCTTTGGAGAAATGCTAATACAGGCAGTCCCTGAGTTACAAACATCTGTCTTAACAATTACTCATAGCTACAAATAGTGGTGAGACAACATAAAGTGAGAGAAATCTATCCTTAGGATGGGAACGTCTCTCCTGAAAGAGTTATCATGGAGAAAATGTGTCTCAATGAAAGCTTTGTCACCAAACCTTGTTCCCACAACAAGAGTTTTTCCTTCCAAAATCCAATTATCACAGGGACAGAAAGTGAAATCTTATGAACAGGGGCATAGATGCCAAAACAAACCCCACAATGGTGTTAACCCTTCCCAATATTATCCAAATATATACATATTTGGCTGGAGTAACACTTAAAATGTATCTGTTCCAACTTACAAACAAATTCAACAAGAGCACACCTACAGAACCTATCTTGTTTTTAACTTGGGGACTGTCTGCACAATTGTTGGAGCTGACATTATAGTTTTTCTATCCTGTTCAGTTCCCTTGAATCCTCTAGAAATTGGTCCTAATTCTTGGTAGTTAACTGGTGCTTCTTTAGCTGGCCTAATGCTGTTTTTTCTTGAATATTACTTTGACTCCTTTGCAGTAGTTAGTATTGGTAGCACTTCAGGATTTACAACATAGCTGGCAATACACAGAAAAACAACCACAATATATAAAATAATAGGTACACAAGACTAGAAAAATTTCCTGTGGATCCTTAAGTTCAAACCCAGAGGGCTAAAATTGAATTAGTACCTGACACTCAATGTAATCTTGTTACAGTCATTGTATTCTAGCAATCTGTTAAAGATTATGTTGCGCCTTGATTTACATCTCTTTTTATGTCCTTAACACAACAGTTTGTGATGGTATCTATCTACAAATCTGCTCTGTGTGTCATTCCCTTAATGTACATTTACCCAACCGGTTTGACCATGGATGAAATAGCATATGATTATTCATTACTGTACCTGTCTTCCTGATTTCTTTTCATGTGGAGAGGCCTGTGTTGGAAGGCCCAGCAGTCAGTGAGTTAACATAATGTCATTAGCATTTTACTTCTTCTCTGGGCAGGACTTAAGTAGCAACTGATTTTCTCTGACTAGGCAAAAGCTACTGGGAGGATGCGCAATTTAATAGCCCTTCTCTCTCTGAAAAAATATGAATAGAGACTAATGATACCTTTCTTACAGCAGCTGCTGTGTATGTATATGAACGAGGAGTCCGACTTGTCTGCCTGCCGCTGTTAGCCTCAGCTTCTACCAACTGCAAACTGCTAGCAGTTCAAAAACATGGAAATGTGAGTAGATCAATAGGTACCACTCCAGCAGGAAGGTAACAGTGCTCCATGCAGTCATGCTGGCCACATGACCTTGGAAGTGTTTATGGACAATGCTGGCTCTTTGGCTTAGAAATGGAAATGAGCACCAACCCCCAGAGTTGGACACGACTGGACTTAATGTCAGGGGAAAACCTTTACCTTTACCTTAGAATGTTGCTGCAGACTCAGTTCAGGTGCAAACATAGTTGTCACTCAATTCACTGGGGAGTGGGGAGCACACAGGAGGAGCAAATCTTGTCCTTACCAACAGGTTCTGGCCAAAACAAACTGCTGCAGCCTCTCCTAGCTTGTGTGTTCTTCCTCATTAATGTGCTCTGCCACCTTGACAACATTCTTAAAATTGCTTGGCCACAACTTTCTTAGTTTTTGTTTGAAAAATATTGGAGGATTTGGTGGCCCTCCTGATATTGTGGGGCTGCAACTTCTCTCAGCCCTAGCCAACAAAGTTAATGTGACGGCTTGAGAATCTTTGCAGTCCAGTCATATTTGGACAGCCATAAAACTAAAGGCAAAGGTTTCCTCTTGACATTAAGGGCCTCCCACAGCCCTATATCCCAGAATATTAAGGCAGAAAATCCCACATTATCTGAGTGTGTACTCAGGGCCTTTCCACACAGCCCTTTATCTCAGGATGTCAAGGCAGAAAGTGCCACATTATTTGAGTATGGACTCAGATAACCCAGTTCAAAGTGGGTATTGTGGGATTTTCTGCCTTGATATCCTGGGATATAGGGCTGTGTGGAAGGGCCCTCAGATAACCCAGTTAAAAGCAGATATTGTGGGATTTTCTGCCTTGATATTCTAGTATGTAGGGCTGTGTGGAAGGGCCCTGAATCTATTTGTGTCCAACTCTGGGGGGTGGTGCACATTTCCATTTCTAATCCGAAGAGCAGGCATTGTCTGTAGATGCCTCCAAGGTTGTGTGGCCAGCACGATTGCATGGAGTGCTGTTGCCTTCCCGCCAGAACAGTACCTATTGATCTACTCACATTTGCATGTTTTCGAACTGCTAGGTTGACAGAAACCGGGGCTAACAGTGGGAGCTCACCCTGCTCCCTGGATTTAAACCACTGACCTTTTGGTCAGCAAGTTCAGCACATCAGCAGTTTCACCTGCTGCACCACTGGTGGCTCCTTTGGACAACCATAGCTTACCAATATGGGCTTATATTATAGCATATAGAATACACAGAATTAATTTCTACTCTTTTTGTGTGTGTGCAGGAGAGAATACAGCTCTTGAGCAAAATGGCAACATCCACTGTTGGAAAATCACCACCAAACAAGAATGGTAATGTTATTGCTCTTTCTGGATGGCATCTATTACGTTAGTCAAGGGGTGGGGGAAATGTAGCACACTTGTAAAACCTGAAACACGAGATCTAACTGATGTTTCTTCTGGGTTTTTTTTTTTCATTTGAAGCATTGTCACTTTTGTAAGAGTCCATGCAACTGTTAGAAATCTTGATTTAAGGAGAAAACACACCAGTGGCTCAGGGAAAGAAATTCCGCTTTATTGTAGCAACTCCATTCTAAGATAAGAAAGTTCCTCAGGATCTAACCACGCTACATCTTGGAAGGTTGATAGATTACTTGTGGGAATGAGAAGTGGTAGAGGAATAAGTGTTGCCAAAGGCTTTCGTGGCTGGAATCACTGAGTTGCTGTGAGTTTTCTGGACTGTATGGCTATGTTCCAAAGGCATTCTCTCCTGACATTTCACCCACATCTGTGACATTTTAAAGTAATATTCATACAATGCATGTGACAGTATTACTACTACCATATCTTCCTTCTCCTCCTTAACTCATTCATTTACATCCCACCTTTTCACCAAACTCAAGGCAGCTCCTTGCAGATCATGAAAAATATTTGTGATCCTAAACTTCTGGTATCATTTACAAGAAAGTTAATACATAGTCCTGTTGTCCAAGGTATTTCTCCATGGTGATAAACCCCTCAGAAACCAGTCTCTCTGTGTAGAGGGGAAATGTAATACAAGAAAACCAATTCTGATGTTGCAGGATTTCAGTTCTCAACATCTCCAACCAAGACAGTTAATGACCAGGAATGAGGGAAGTTGTAGTGCACCAACATTTGCAGGGCTATGGTGTCCTCAGCACTACTTTGGGGAGTGTCTGGCATATTGCGGTATACATTTTCACAAGGTGCAATTCTGTACAACTCACGTTTGCCTGAGGGGAAGTCTCATTGAACTCCAGGGACTCCCTCCTGAGTTGAAAGGGATGACTTTTAAGTGGAATAATTTCTAGCTTAATAAATAGTTGCTTGTCATACTGTCAATAGTCTGCCAGCCAGATTTCATTGTTAAGAGAGATAAATGGGTAGGTGTTCCAGGTCCGCACTCCTCCTAGTTTCATGCATGTCCATGCTTAGTCCAAGATAATTGCCTAGTCTGCAGGGATGTGTTTAATTACTCTTGTAGACTGAAGTATTGTTAAAAAGAATTAATAGCACATAGCAATGTAATCTGCAAAGTGAATAATGCTGTTCTTCAGTGATTTTGACCATAGCTTTTCTAGGTATGGGAACCGACCACAAGGCATTAATAGGGCAAGTCTGTACATGAGATTCTGCAGTACCTTCCTTCAACTGCAGCTGACTTGGACCTATTCCATTCCATTCTATTCTTCTAACAGTGTCATTTTGATCTCTGCTATGACATTTGCACATGCCATCCCTTACTATAGCAGCCATCAGCCGATGAGTGGGGTCCCAAAGGGCTCTTGGTTGGAATTAGTGGTTCTCATTCTTTAGACCTCCAGCTATTTTGAACTAAAGTGCCCATAATTTCACAACTGACAATGCTGGGTTTCTGGGTGTTGTCCAAACTTTCAGAAAATCAAAAGCTAAGAAACAGTCATTTAAATGCAATGAACCTAAGAGTGCGAACAGATGATTCAATTCAAGGACTAGCCTTTAAAAAAATCAAAATATTCATTCATCCATTAGTAGGTTTGTTCAAAAGCATTTATATGCTATCTATCTCTCTCAGTTAGAGATATCTGAAGGTAGCTTATATCAAGAATGGTGTTAAATAATAGGCCATTTGAATCATTAATATACAAGCAAACATGAGACACCAAAACAGGAGTGCATAAACATAAAAAAGTGGAGACTTCGAGTGACAAGTTGTTCAGGTAGGAAGAGGTAGCTTTAAGGTTTCTTCCCAGCCAAGCCTCGGTGTTCTGAACATTTTGTCAATGAATTCTTTTAAATCCTGCTTTGTGTGTAAATAGATGCCAAGAATGCTTCCCTTGCAATGAAGAGCAGGCAACAAGCTATCAATGAGGTCAACAAGCGAAGGACCCTGTTGCAAGACAACAGCTGGATAAAGAAGAGACCTGAAGAGGAGAAGTAAGGAAATGTCCATTTGACTTTTGGGCAAAGTTGGCCATAGACTATATACTTTCCTATAATTCTTACATCAGCCAATGTTGCTAGTTTGTTTTATAGTATGTGTGTATGTGTGTACTCTCCAACTTTCTGATTTGGCAGAGACATTTCAGAGGATTCGACCTCACTTTCTGTCCCTGTGATAATTGGATTTTGAAACAAGGATTAATGATAAGCTTTCAGCTGAGACACCTTTTCTCCCATGATAACTCTTTCAGGGGTGAATTTCTTTTCTGAGGGATAGATTTATCTCTCTTCCTGTTTTCTCACCCCCATTCTTCCTGTTTTCTCACCCCCGTCATTTGTAAGTTGGGTATTTGTAACTTGGGGACTGCCTGTATTTCAATTTCTCTTTCCTCCTCCCACTTTCCCACCTTGAAATCAACTCATTTTAGTTTCTACAAACTGAGTCCAAACAACAAACTCAGCTTGCACTGAATTAACTCAGTGGAGTGGAAGGGGAAGAAGGGGAACAAAATGTAGCCCTTTCCAGTTGATTCAAGCAACAGTAAACTGTTGCAGCCTCTCCCAGCTTGTGTCTCCTCTCTCATTAATGACTTTTGCCATCTAAACCATTCTCTGATTTGCTTGGCCACACACGTCCCAGTTGTCATCTGTGAAATAGTATAAATATGTATGGGTGGGAGTAATTTTTTCCAGTGCAGACTTAACCAGGCCTTGGAATTTATTTAATTTTACTACAGTGTCCAGATAAAATCTAGGAATTAACAATAACTCAGTTCTACCCCAGTCCTAGATTTAACTACCGGTACCCATATTTCCTAAATTCGAAGATGTCATTGATTGTAAGACACACACTAATTTCAGTACCACTAACAGAAAAAAAGCTTTATTGATATGTAAGAAAAGTACCTGTGATGCTGAGACGCATCCCATTTTCATAGACATTTATATGAGTAGGGAAATGCATTTTAGAATTGAATAAATTGGGTAGTTTACAGACTTGGGCCTAAATCACTGTTAACAAAAAATTTGCAGTTTTCAGAGGGCCATTTTCATTTATTTCCCAAAAAAAGAAGGGGGAGGAGAGGGACGAAAAGACCAGCAAAACAGATTCAGAGAGACAATATTTTCGGGAAGAGTTAAGTCCACAAAATACCTGAGGCAGAGGGATCTGTGGTATCTTTTTCTCTCCATTTTTTCTTAGGAAGTTACCTCCACCTCCAGAGCGGGCCCCAGGAATTCACGTTCCCAGTGGCACTAGCATAGGGTGGCCATTGAAAGTTCCTTTCAGAGCATGATGGGAGCTGGAAGTTTTTCCCTCTGTGTGTCTTTCATTCAATAAAAAACCCCGGTGGTGTCCAGGCTCTGATTGGCTAAGAATGGACACAAACAGCAACTGCAATTCCCAAATGTTATGGTTAAAACTTAAAATAATTCTTTAAAAATCAGTAGATTGGTGAATTGTTTTGAAACTTGACAGGCCTGCAGTTGTAAATGGGGTCTACAACTGAGCTAGGCCTTAAAATGACTGAGGATTGAGCCTTTAAAATTTCCTATTGTAGCCAATGGGCCAAATCTCTGCTGAATGAAACGGAAAACACTCCGCCCCATTCTGGTAAACAGAATGAGAGGTCAGACAAAAATGGACCCAAAAATGGCATGCCTTTTGGCCTGCATGCACATGCCTAGTGGTTTAGGTTCCCTTCTAATCAGAGTGCAGCCCTACACCAGACTTGGCAACTGTCTCGTTTTCCATACAAATCGCATAACAAAAACAGAAACTCAACTGAATTTTTTCGGGAATGTTACACATGACTGGAGACCTATGTTCATCATTGTCGAATTGGAAAAGAAAAAAACTGTACAAGTCTCATTTAAAGAGATTTCACTTGCTTTCCTTTATACCTCTGTTCTCCAAGTGGAAAGACAGATTGTTCCTGGGATTTGTAGTTTGGTTGAGGCATGAACGGTACTTGGCAGAGAAGGCTAAAGACTTTGTGAAATTACAACTCTCACAATTCCTTAGTATTGGACCTTTCGATGCACCCTTGGAACTCAAGGATTCTGCAAACAGTTGCTAGGGTTTCAATGAAAGTTTGTGATTGAAGAAAATTAAATTTTTGAACTAAAGAGATAATAATTTTTACATTTGCTGAGATCTGAAATGTAATGTCTTTCAAAAGTTCCTCCAGTGTAGGAAAAAGTTGAGCAATGGTCGCTCTAGACCAAAGAGTTAGCATTAATGAAACACTGGTGGAACCGCCTTTGTTCCCTTCTTCTCAGATGCTTGCCTGTGCTTGCTACTCTTGAGCTGGCCACCAGGTTGAGAGAGAAGAAGGTGGGAGGAAGGAAGCAGGCCACCCGGGCAGGGTGTGTGGGCTTGTGTGAAATTTTCACAAAGTTGCTCCCGGGGGAAGGCACCACAGATCACAGGAAAACATCAAAGCCTCGCTGAAGAAGATTCTTAAATTAAACACAGGTAGCCGGGGAGGAAGAATGTTGTATGTTGTGTTAGAGAGGAAGCTTGCCATGTGCGTCTCCTTGCAAGGCATGCAGACTTCTCAGGATTTCTCTCCAGATGGCAGAGTACTACTTATAGCAAGCATTAAAGAAGGTTTGATCTGGAATGCATCTGTTCCGTCTCCTTCATCGATGCAGCATCTGCTGCCTCCAGTTTGTGGTTAGTTGACTTGGTGGGGAATTTCCAGGAAACTCAAGGAAACTCTCAAATAACTCAAAAACATTCAAAAGTTCTTTGATTAGAAGACCAGAAAACGCAGCCACACAAACCTGGAAAACAGCTCTATCACAAGAAGTTGTCTTTCCATCCAGCACAGGTGGTCATCGCATGAGGCTGTTCAGCCTAGCTCCTCTCCTTCTACATCATGAAATATTGAGGACTATAAATGAACATCACTGTGTCTTAATACACCAACTAGATCAGGACTTTCCAAAATGTGTGTCGCAATATATTTGTGTATTGGCTGCAGTGTGCAGGTGTGCCACATGAATGTAAAGTGAAACCTATGAGTCTATGTGAAATTGTACTATGGTAATAATATAATATTGTGCTATGGTAAAAATACAATATAATGTATTTACATATTACTTGTAGGGCCCTAAACAGTTCTGGCCTAATTTACCTATCTGAACATGTTTCCCCTTATGAACCTTCCAGGAATTTAAGATCATCTGGGGAGGCCCTGCTCTTGATCCCACCTGCCTCACAGGCATGCTTGGTGGGAATGAGGGACAGGGCCTTCTCAGTGGTGGCCCCTCAGCTTCCTGGGGATATTAGATTGCCCCCCTCTCTCCTGACCTTTAGGAAAAGAGTAAAAACCTGGCTCTTCGAGCAAGCTTTTGGAACCTCATTGTAACCAGATAAACTCAGTATTGTGCACAAATATGGAACGGCTTAATGATGCAAATGGACATGGATTTAAACCCGGAAGTCATTGATTTTTATAGTTTTAAAGGGTTTTTATATGAATTTTATTATGTGATTTAACCTGTTTTAAACTATTTATTTATGTGTGTTCGGCATCTAATTGTTGCTAGTCTGTACGCCACCCTGAGTTGCATTCAGACTGAAAAGGGTGGGATAAAAGTGTGGTAAATAAACAAACAAACAAACAAACAAACAAACAAACAAATAAGCCTCTCTGAGTCTCCTTCAGGGTGAGAAGGGCGGCATATAAATGTTGTAAATAAATAAATAAATAAATAATGAGCAATCAATCATATATTTTAAGAAATATAAATGAAAAGTTTTCATGAGATATGTTGTATCCCCATACATTTCATTATTACAATGTATGCTTGTGTCCATATCTCTTATAAAGGGTTGATTTAACTTTTGGTTTGCTAGTAACACTGAATTACTGTGTCTCGAAATGATGCATATCTAAAAAGGGTCACCAACATAAAACCTTTGGAAAGCACTGAACTAGAGCATAAATGCACTGGACAATATAATGATGTTGATATAAAATATTTTGTTAATTTCAGCACTAATGAAAACTACGGCAGAGCGGTGCTTAATCAATACAAATCACAAGAAGGCTTACACAGGTACATAGCATGTTAACCTGTATCCAAGCAGATCTTGCTTTAAGACATTTTACTTTCGAGTGCTTCAATGAGTGGTACAGTCCTTGATCTGTTTAGCGTATTCATACACATCATATATTCTGGCAATTTAAAAATATATTACTTTTACCTCTGCATTTTTAGTATTGTTTCATTTTAATAAATGATAGTGCAAATCTCACCTTACTGGGTGACCTTGGGAAAGTCACAGTTTCTCAGCTCAGAGGAAGTCATTGGCAAATCTAAATAAAATCTGCTGAGAAACCCCATACTTCAGTTGTCATAATCTGGAATGGATTTACTGACACATAACAAAGCATGGATATTTCTGTGTTGTGGAAGGCTTTCATGGTCAGAATTATTGGGTTGCTGTGAGTTTTCCAGGCTGTATAGTCATGTTTCAGAAGCATTCTCTCCTGACGTTTTGCCCACATCTATGGCAGGCATCGTCAGAGGTTGTAAGGTCTGTTGGAAACTAGGAAAATTGGGTTTATATATCTGTGGAATGTCCAGGGTGAGAGAAAGAACTTTTGTCTGCTTGAGGCAATTGAGCACCTTGATTAGCATTGAAATAGCCTTGCAGCTTCAAGGCCTGACTGCTTCCTGCCTGGGGGAATCCTTTGTTGGGAGACTACACAGAGAAGGCATTGAAATCCACAAGCATGTGGACAATTTCAACAGAAAGGAGGAATCATGAAAATGAACATAATCTAGCTACCAGTATTTAAAAAAACCCTCTCAGGAGAGCAAATGAAGAACACCACTCAGTAAACAGGGGAATCCCAGACAAGAAACAGTCAGGGCCAGCTAATACCTCCCAACAAAGAATTCCCCCAGGCAGGAAGCAGCCAGGCTCTGAAGCTGTAAGAATATTCAATACTAATTGGCTATGCAGCCTGGAAAATTCACAACTACCCATGGCTATTGCTACTGGCAGTACAAAATTTTGTTGCTTTTTTAAACTAAACAAATTGACTGATCTAATTTGGATGTTGGGAGATTGAAGATCTTATTATAATTAATTGACTTTCCTATTACAGGAACACAGAAGAAAATGGAGATCAGAAAGCTTTAATTAGCCGTTATAGATCTGACACTACTTTAGACAGGTAAGTGTTGTTTTTTGTTGTTTTTTACACACATTGTTTTATTGGTTTGTATTATACAATGATAAAATGCAGCTAGCTAAGAAATATAGGCTTATTTGTTTATTAAGATTATTATTACTTTGTCTTGTGGAGACTTTTGTAAAATATGGGGTGGTGAAGGTGTGGCCATAGGATTGCAAAAAGGTTCCCAAAATTGGTTTTGTGACCAATTTTGACCTTTCCAGATCGTCAAGACTGGCCTTTTTCTGGTGTTCCCCAAACAGATAGCCTTTAGGAACAACATGTCACATTTTACATAGATGGAAGATTTTCCACATTAAAGATAAATTCCCATTTTTCCCCCTCATGTCTACTCCTGAACTATGCACCCTGTAAAAATGTACACAATTGCAGCATAAAAGGCTTGGGGGGAATGGTTATCACTGAATTAAATGTATCTCATAAAGCTGTTGTCAGATTGAAATATAAGAACATTTTACCTGGGAGTCAAAACTAAATAAATAAAATACTGTGGGGGAAATTAATTGGCCTGGATCCCAATGTCTGTTTTCACAGAAGCGGAATCCCTCATCTACAGATACTTGAGAAACCTTTGCGTGGATTAGAAGTAGGCAGAAATGCCAGTCCCATCTCCCACCATACCCTTCCTTCCCCAGCTCCTCTTACATTGCCATAAACTATCTCCAGAAGGTTAGGCCCTGACATGGGCAAACTTTGGCCCTCCAGGTGTTTTGGACTACAACTCCCACAATTCCTACCAGCTGTTAGGAATTGTGGGAGTTGTAGTCCAAAACACCCAGAGGGCTGAAGTTTACCCATGCCTGGTTAATACGGTCTAGAACTGTAGTAGATATATTGCAGGAATAAATGCAGCCAGAAAGTAGTGGTGGAGGGGAGTTAGGAGAAAGAACATTTCTTTCAGTCCTATTACTCCTCCACCCTGCCACTTTTTCAGCAGCATTTAAAGTGTACCTGTAAATGCCCCTTCCTTCTTCTTTTCCTCTTCATCCCCATCTTACTTCCACTGGTTTTATTTTTATTTATCATGTCAGGAGGAAACAGTTGTACTGTATTTTTTAAAAAAACACATACACACCAAGTTTGCAAAGTTGGCATTCTATTAAATGCAACATGAGCCCTGCCACATGCACAATGGAGGACCTTCTTATAGCAACACCAGAGGCATTCCAAGTGGCCAGCTACTGGTCAAAGGACATTTAACAGACTTCCACTGGTGCTAACTTAGTTCAAAATGCAAAAGTTGTTCTCAATTAATTGAGCTAATGTGAGAGGATGAGTGAAACCTTCTCCTTCCCTGTAGGTTTAGGCAAAAGCAAATTCCTGCACCCTCTCTAAGCTTGTGTGTTGTCCCTCTGTTGTCGAAATCAGATATCTACCACAATGCAGTGTAAGTCCATCACCTGGCATGGACCTACACTGGAAAAGCCAGGAAAACATGATAAGGTTTGAAGGCAATAATAGGAGTTTATTCAATCTGGCCTGATGGATGTCAGAACAGCGTAATAGCTCAAAAGAACTGACGTGACTATACAATACAGTGCAAGGCATTTGATCTATTTTGGCAGCCATTCAAAAGACCCGTTCCCTCTCCTGATTGGCTCAGGGATGGCCAAGCTGTGATCCGAGCAGTCATTGGCTGGGGACTCCCTGTGATTATTATTATTGCCTCAGAGACAAAGACGAAGCTTGTGTAAATATAAACAACTGAAGAGAAAACATGCAACACAATACAGATCTTATTGAGGCGCAACTCCTATCTGATATTTTTGAAACACCTGGAGGGCTTACTTGGAACCTGATCTTAATTATACCTTTTTTCCTGGTGTTTGCCGTGTTTCCCTGAAGGGATTCTCTCTCAGCTGGCTTCCTGGATCTTCACCCCCCAACAGTTTCACGAGCACTTATATTATACAATTTAAGTTTCTTTGGTGCCCGTGAACATGTCCATGTTTGCCCTCTACCCAACTCAGAGTTCTTATGCATCCATATGTGAGTCCTCTCCCCGCTTGGTTTATTTATTAAGAATAAAGCATAAACGTGAATCCAGACACTCCAAAGTATTTGTTCAGGCAAATCTCCACAGGGGAGGGGTGTGGGATTATTCCATTGTCTTAGGAACATTTCCCCTTGACCTCCTGGGGCTCTTGGGGCAAGGCAGATGATTAGATTAATCCTCTCAGAAATGTTTGGGCTGGGCTGGGTGGCTTGAAGCTCTGCCAAGATCTGCTTGTATGAGTTAGTACATAAATGTATACTTTGTTTATTTATCATGTCAGAAGCAAATTAAGGGTGCAGTTATGATGTATTTAAAAATAGAAACGAAGTTAAAAATTTGGCATTATGCTAAATGTCCTTTGACCAGGACCTGGCCACTTGGCGTCACTGTGAGAAGGTCCTCCATTGTGCATGTGGCGGGGCTCAGGTTGCATTGCAGCAGGTGGTCAATGATTTGCTGTTCTCCAAACTCGCATGCTGCAGATTCCACTTTGTAGCCCCATTTCTTAAGGTTAGCTCTGCATCTCATGGTGCCAGAGCGCAGCCTGTTCAGCTCTTTCCAGGTCAGCCATACTTCTGTGTGCCCAGGAGGGAGTTTCTCATCCGGTCTCAGCCACTGATTGAAGTTCTGGGTTTTTACCTGCCACTTTTGGACTCTGGCTTGCTGAGGTGTTCCTGCAAGAATCTCTTTAAATCTTAGGAAGCTATTTCTTGATTTCAGATACTGACTTGCTGGCTGATATCCAAACAGAGGATGGAGATGTCAATGCCTTGGTCCTTTCATTAAAATTTATACTTACTCTAAGTTATTATTTAGAGAGGGGGGGGAGGTTAATTTTTGACAACACCTCATTAATAATTTTTGCTATCTTGATAACATCCTGATGGCTACACATGCTTGGCTACACGTGTCCTGGTTTTCATTTGCCAAATACTAGAATGTATGAATGCATGCTCCATCATTGTGTGAATTAATACTTGAGTCTTACTTCTGCACTAGCTGTGCTACATTAGATACTACCACAGTAGGCTGACTTATGAGGCGCACTGTAGAGGTTAGACACACCCTACAGTTTCACATCCCTACTCTCTGCCTCCAGGAGTTGCCTCCTAATATATTTTCCTCACTCAATCTTATGGCAGGGCTAGATAGCCTTCCACAACTACAAAAGATTGTTTGACTTCTTCTGTGTCAGAATACCAAAACTCTTGATCACAGCTTCTTAAACTGAGGTTCTCTTAGCCCCATGATGGGGTCCTGAAATTTTGTTCTGAATGTCACCTACTGGCTGTTTTAGATATTTGCATGAATTTGTTGTGCAGTGTTTACAGTAGACTCTGCAGAAGATGCTTCAGCTGTACTTCATAAAAAGGAAAGCCAACCTGTTTAGCAATTCTTGCAAATGCTGATCTGTTATCCGTAAATGTTTGATTTTTATACCTACCTGTATTTCATCGCACAATAGTCGCCATCGCACAATAGTTCCACCCTCATTTTGGGGAAGACAAAATTGGTATTGGTATAAAAGGCATGACTGCCCTTTTGGAGTTGTGGGGCTTGATATGGCTTCTAGGTGAGCCGGCTCCATGTTTTCCCCCAAAAGGAGGGGAGAAGTGCAACTATTATGCAGTGAAATATGGTATTTTATATGCATATATATATCAAGTCATGTAAAAACACAATTAACATTCATAAATAAATCTAGTAACTTCAGCTGACATGATCAGTGCAAAAAAAGTAATTTCTAAATCTGTAGAATCAACAATGAATGAGTTTCAACCTCAGCTCTGTCAGTTCAGTTCTTCGCATGTTTAGTCTGAAGTACCTCTTCTCGGTTAATATACATGACAACTACCATAAACAAGTAATTCAAGTTCACATAGCAGGAGGCTGACAGCTGAATCTCTCCTATGGAGGTCAAAAAAGGTTTCCTGGCAAGGACTATAAAATCCATAATAGACCAAGTAAAGCTGATGTCTTTCTTCCTCTTTAATGTAAATGCAATGGCTCAATGAAATCAATGTTAAGCACAGTTGCCATGGCTTCTTGGGTTTGTTGTAGTGGCTGCAACCTTGCAATTGGGTTCCATAAGGAATGGTATATGATGGACATGTCCAAATCATATTGATCTTCAAAAATGAGTGGGGGGAGTGGGGGAGGGGCTGTGGAAAACATCATATTCCATATGGAGGGATTGCTTTGATTGTAAAGTTACTCCACTTCTTCATTCAAAGTTTCGTCAATGCATTTGATGTTTTCCCACAGCAACACAAGATCCATTTTTTAAAAGAACACATACTCATCATGGAGTATTAAATAATTCATTAAAATAAGTCTTTCAGCAAGCTATTTTTTCCAAATAAATTAGCATAAGCATTATATTGAGTCAGCTGGTATTTTAGTCGGTTCTCATTAGGATAGTAAAAAACTGTAAAACGGCATGCAGCTACTGAAAGCTTTTTTCTTGCTTTGCCAGGAAATGTTGGATGTTGACATTATTAATTCAGGCAGCCTTTCTTTTTTCTTTTTCTCTATTAGTAGAAGCAAGTTTTGTCTGTTAGCAAAAACTCACCTTGCTCTTTATCTCTGCTTAGGATTTCTGGCGGAAGTGATGCTGACAAAGCAAATAAGCTTCCCACTTTCGATGTCCATTCAAGTAAGAGGTATGTGCAAGCAAAGCTTCCGAGTTATCAGTTCAAAGGTTTAGTTGGTATCCGATGAATATGTCCCATGTCATCAATGACAGCAAATACCTCTAATGTCAGTAGGGCAGGAAATCAACTTTTAGATATTAGTCCAGATTTTAAAGGAGTGGTCCAAAGTGATGCTGGTTCAGCACCTCAGATAGTCCTTGAATATTAAACATAAAACCAGGGATGGATTAACTGGTGTAGAAATATTGGGTACAGCACAATTCCTGTTTTCTGGGAACCACTATATTTTTTTCACATGGATATACATACTTTTTGCTTAGTGCACTGCTTCAGGATGATGAAGCAATCAAATTTTACTGAACAAGTCTTCAGACTGCATCAGATAGGTAAAGGTAAAGGTAAAGGTTTCCCCTTGCCATTAAGTCTAGTAGAGTCCGACTCTGGGAGGTGGTGCTCATCTCCATTTCTAAGCCAAAGAGCTGGCATTATCTATAAACATCTCCTAGGTCATGTGGCCAGCATGACTGCATGAAGTGCTGTTACCTTCCCGCTGGAGCAGTTCCTATTGGTCTCACATTTACATGTTTTTGAAATGCTAGATTGGCAGAAGCTGGGGCTAATGATGTGGATTTGAACCACCAACCTTTTGGTCAGCAAGTTCTTCAGCTCAGTGGTTATACCCACTGCACCACCACAGCCGCATCAAATACTATATCTATATATTAAGAACAAGCAGTATATGCACTGAAAATCTAAGATTAATGTACAAAACATTTAAAATTATAGATACAACATGTTTTATCCCCATTAATGCTGCACTTAATTTTTGTCTTGTTTTTCATACATTTTTGCAGTTTCTTCCTCTGTCCCCCATTAACCTTGCTGCTTAACAGCAAAGAGAGCAACCCTCTGAGTCACAAATAGATAAAATAACTGTAAGAGAAAATTCCACTTGTCCTTAATCTCCAATTTGTCAAGAGGCTGAGGGTTGTATGATCTACTCTGATGTCAACACACATGAAAATTTGTACAAGGTCCAGGCTTAGCACAGCAGCTAAACCACTGTGTTGCAGAAAAATCCTAAAGATCGAAAGGTCGGTGGTTCGAAGCCCAGGTCAGGGTGAGCACCTACCATTAGCCTCAGCTCACTTGCCTACCTAGCAAGTCAAAAACAGAAATGCAAGTACTGCTTTTAACAGGGAGGTATGTTGTCTGTCCTTGTTAATTGTATAATCGGCATTGAATGTTGGCCATAAGTGTGTTCTGTGAGCCGTTCTGAGTACCCTTTGGGGTGAGAAAGGCAGGGTATAAATACTGTAAATAATAAATAATGATAATACAGGGTGCAACTCTTTCCCTGATTAACTTGCATAGCAAGGCGCCCTGGCACAACATATCATCACTGCCCCTGGTTGACTTATGGCAAGTCACCCTTTCTCAGCCTTAAGGGAAGAAAACTTTAGGAGAGCATCATCATAAGTTGATCTGAAGGCATACACTTTGTTTCCCTGAAAATAAGGCCTAACTAGTAAATAGGCACTAACATAATTTTTCAGGATCGTAGTAATATAAGCCCTACCTTCCCAAAAAAGCCCCAGTTGTGATTGTCAGCCAGCTAAACGCATTTAGCAATAGTTTATTCATAGCAACACATGATGGGCGTGTAGACTTATAAAATAATAATATTAATATATAATTAAATATACATAAATAATATTGTTGCAATTAATACTTGAATTAAATGATAATACAAATTATAATTACGTTTTTGTAACTACCCAAGCAGGGACAATTGGACAAGAGATAAACGCCTATGTAAACAAAGGAGACTTATTGCTGAATGACAAATCAGAGTACAATGCATGAATAAAATGTACAATTAATATGTGAAAAAATAAGACATCCCCTGAAAATATTTATCTTATTTTCAGGGAAATATGGTAACAATAACAAAACAGGTACATTGTGTTGAATACAATAAAACCTCTGTATCCACAAAATACTGCTTCCTGGTCTGATTGCAGTTGCCTGAAACTATTGATATGACTAAATCCCATTAAATAACACAAATGTCCAATTCTGGCATATCATAGAGTTCTGTTGGCCGACCTAGAGATTCCTAGAGAGGCATCTTCTCAAGCAAATTCCAAAAGAGGTATTCTCTCTAGGAATTTGCTAGAGAGACATAACTGTATGGCAATTTCCAGTGAAAGCAGACCATAGGATTAACAAATTCATCATTTCCCCCCAAGTATGAGTAAGTCCAATCGTGAATATGAGGGGCTTACTGTAATAAATGAAATTTATTCATTCTGAAGCATGTTTTGGTGAAATAAAAAGTTCTTAAAATTGTTGAACAGTTGAAATTAATTTAATAGCATAACAATAACCACAATAATTCTACTACCAATGGTGTTGGTATTGGTTTCCCCCCAACAAACCAACCCTACATTAGGATCTTGCTCCTCTTTCTCCTCTTGTGGTAATATTGGTGCATCAGGAAAAATGTTGACACCGTTCATTTCAGCTTTGGTATTATTAAAAATGGAAGAAAATTAAGATTGTTCAGCAGGAACTCTCAGAAAAAAAAATCACCTAAGGCCAGTGCTGGTTTCATATCTCTGATTTTCTTTTAACATTTTGCTTTGCTAAAGTATTATCAACTGAGACACATCAATTATTCTTGTAAAGGACATGATAATTGGATGTTACTTGCCATGTTTTAATACTTGCTTATCCTCCCATTGCCTTAAAGTATGCCTGAAAATACTAAAATGTGCCTTTTCCCCCAGCAAGGAACCTGATGTACTTGTCAGCCCTGGCAATCCCACATCACCTGTGAAAAAGAAAAGGTATTGAGGTCTTTAAAAATGTTTAGTATTAGAGATTAAAGAAAGGATCCTTGTAGCACCTTTAAGATGATTTATTTATTTTAGTTTGAGGTTTCATGGATTAAAATCTAAAAGTGCAATACTCAAGCATGGGGTACTTTCATTTTTGTATATATCTCAGGTTTGAGTATGATACTCAATCAGTTTATCTGAGAAAGTGAATTTTAATCCATAAAATATTATTATTAAATAAAGAAATTTGTCTTAACAGGAGCTACAAAATTCCTTATTTGTACTCTCAAAAGTCTAGCAAGACTATAAATTTTGAGAATTTTGGGGAATTTAACCATCATGGAGATTAAGACCTTCTGGGGAGAGTCCGCTCTCAGTCTCACCTCCTTCACAGGGAGGACTGGCAGGACGACAGACAGGGCCTTCTCAGTGATGGCCCCTCGACTGTGGGAATCAATCCCCAGTGATATTACATCAGCCCCCTCCATCCTGGCTTTCAGAAAGAAAGTGAAAGCATGACTTTGGGATCGATCTTCAGAGAAGAATTGTAGTGCAATAGATGCATACGGAATATATGCAATGACCTGGAACAGCCCTGTATTACAATTGTGGGTGGAGTGATTTCAAATATTTTAATGTGTATTAATTTCAATTTAATTTAAATATTTATTTTAATTGTATGTTGTTATTAAGGCATTGAATAACAAACCCAATGTGTAACAACGCTTCAGTGACAGAAAACTCTGCAGTGTTACAAATACAACAATTAGAATTCCATCTGTAAATACTTCATTTCTGTGACCTTTGCAGACAAGTTTTGATGGATTATAGATGGGATGGAGTGAACGTTATGTGATGGGACACATTTGAAATCATTTTCAAACTGTATCAGAAACAGAGTATTTCCTAATGTCATGAGGTCCGCAGCTCTGCTTTTAGCCATGAGAACATAAAACCAGCTCAAGAATTTTTGGAAATTTTATAATCTTGTTAGAAGTCATAACCTTTTGAAAAATGATGCCATAACCTCGTGGTAAAAGTATGACCTGTTACAGTCATAACCTTTTTGGAAAATATACGCGCAGCAGAGTTTCAGGAGTGTTCTTTTTAGTTGCCCAAAAAACATACACTCTCCCTAAACTATGTATTTGCCTTTAAATCATGCTCTCAAGAGACAAAAGTAAGCAGACTTCTTTAAAAGTAACATAGTTGGTTTACTCTCAAACTTCATGTATTCAGCATACAGGTTCTTTGCCTGTCAATCCAGTTACAAATAGATTTGAAGTGGTTTCTCTGTGTAGGTAACACAGGCCATCTTTCTCACAATCAAATAGTCCATAGTCCAAAGCATCTCTCCGTTTTAATAGAGTCTCTGTAGTCTGTTTCAACTAACTTCTAAAAACATACATCTGTTTCTACTGAAGTCTCTAAGCATACATGTTAATGAAGTCTAAAGCATACATATTCTAAAATGGAGTCTGAGACCTGAACAAGCTCAGTTCTGATCACATGATCTGCAACCCCTCCCACAACAAAGAGTTAAGGTAAAAATGCAAACCAATACACACATATAATACTGTAAGCAATTACATACATAACAAATAACTAGTGGAGGCTTGAGAAAGTGGCTATTTCCAACAAGAATTGCATTTGCAGACCATTTACACTAGGCTATCCCCAATGCAGCCAAGTAGAAGTAATTTAAAATAAAAAGCCCTTCTGCCATTGTAAAAGGTAGCTTGGTAAACATTTTAAAACAGCTTCAAAATTTAGGGGGGGCAAAGGAGGAGATCCTAGTAAAACTGAGAACAGTGATGATTTGTAGTAGCAATTAAACTACTTAATTACTTGCTACATTTTATATATTGAAAGGACCACTGATTAAGAATATAGGATCAGCACTAGGGACAGCCAAGTTCAAATCCCAGTTTGACTATGAGATTTGTCTCTAAACCTATCCATTTCAGTGATTGTTGTTTTGAATTTGAAACGAGGAAGGGATTCTTGGAGGAAAAATTATCTCTAAATGTATCACGTATAAATGAAATATATAAAATAGTGTATATAAATGAATATATATTCCTGTAAACAATCTGAAGTTCTTTTAACAAGAGATGGCAAGAATAAACTTGGGAAAGTATGCCTGCCAATCATGGAAGAAATGTTCTGATTGTAGGCTATTATGCATACATGAACATGGAATAGCCGTGGGGTTTCCTTCTCCTTCACACAAAATAGCAATCTGAGATAGAAAATGCTGGAGCTACTGAACAGGAATTTATTCTCATAATGTCTCAGTAGGAAGACAAAAACTCAGGAAAATATGCTGACAAGGTTTTCATGTTGTATTAATGAAACTATGATTCTGGCACCAGATAAGCTCATTTAAATTGTCGTTAATTTGAAATGGAGGCCCAATGAGACTTAAATCACCTGATAGGATATGTTCTTGAATACAAATGCAGTGGTAGCTAGTAATGTTGATTCAGATTTGAGATTTAGTCTGAATTTTACAGGAGCTTTCCAGGGTGCCGAAACCTCTTTAAAAGCTCATTTAAAGTTTGCATTAAAACCCTTCTCTAGCATGGAAACCATTAGACTCCAGAATGTGAAATAGCCTGTGAAATAAGCTTTATTTTAACTCAATTGTCTTCTAACATTACATAGGCAGTCATGGATGCCTCCCACTGTCTCAAATCAGAAAACCACCAAAGATGATGTCGAACCAAAAAGGTAAACACTAGGATATTATGAAAATTAGTATTTTATTGTCATGGCCTAAAAATACCTTTAAGATGTAAATAAGTGAATTCAATAAATGGTCAACTTTTATGCAATTGCTGCTCATTATATATTATGGGGAAGTTCTTGCATCCGCATATCATCAACAAGAATGATTTTAATTTTAGATCCACAGTAGAGTTATGCAACGTTTGTAAATACAGAGAAAGTCCCCTAAATGGACTAAACACTGCAGACAAAAATGTGAAATACATGCATACATGTTTTGGGTTCAATCTAGTGAAATTGATGTGCCCAAGAACAGCCTGTATTTGCAAAGACTTTGCTTCATGGTGTGTGTGCGTGTGCATGTTTGGAACGGGTTCTGTGAGTGTAACTGAACACGCCTTGCTAATAGTCAGGGTGAAATACTACTACAACCAGGAATGTCCTATGTATGGACAGAGAGCTTCTGTGGTGGAAAGTGTTGACAGGGAGAAAAAGCTCTCCCATTCAGAAGGCCACCCTGCAAGTATAGAGGGCACTGAAAATGAAGTGTAAAGTAAAGCTTTATACATGTTCAGAGTGCCAATGCAGGACTAGCATTTGCTGATACTTCTCTAGATTATTATCTTATGCTGTCCAGTTGCAATCCCTAGACTTTACTTGTGAGGGGAGGGTGAAAACAACCATCAAAAGATGGTCATAGAGCAGTGGTTCTCAACCTGTAAGTCCCCAGTGTTTTGGTCTACAACTCCCAGAAATCCCAGCCAGTTTACTAGCTGTTAGGACTTCTGGGAGTTGAAGGGCAAACATATGTGGACCCAGAGGTTGAGAACCACTGTCATGGAGTCAGAGAGCTTGAAGAAACCACAATAGCTATCCAATCCAACCCTCTATTTTGCAGGTGTACACTCCTGAGAGATAGCTATCCGCCTCTGCTTAAAAACCTCCAGAGAAGGGGACTCCAACATACTCTGAGGCAGTGTATGCCACTATCAAACAGCTCTTACCACCAGGAGGTCCTTCCTAATGTCCTTCATTCAATATCCCCTGTGTCGTTGTCCCCCCCAAAAAAACTCACCTGAAGAGAGTTCATAACAAAAGCAGTTGCAATGTTTTTCCCCTGCTGCTAAAACCCACAAGGCTTTGCTATATCAACAATATTTAGATCTGTCTTATTGTTTGAAATGCTACCAATTTTCCATGCTATTTTTGAAGATTCAAATAACAGATGATGATGATGATTATTATTCCCAAAATTGAGTGTGCATTAGTTTTGATGGCACATTAGAATTGCACACATAAACCCATCTGTATCATCATGCAAGAGATTCCAGCTGGGATGGAGAGAGAAGCAGCCACTACCTTTTTATGGCCACCACCTTCTTCTCACTAAGCCTGACAGAGGCATGCAGCTTCTCAACAGCCTTTTCATGGCTGCCACCACCTTGCATTTCATTTGACAGCAAATTCTTTTTTTTTTTTGTAATGTGCACCTTTATTATTGAGGTGAACATTACCTTCAAAAATGATACAGGACAGATGGGAGGGGTGGGAATTTATGTACCCTTCCAGATTTTAATGGACCACGTGTTCCTTGCTATGTTGACTTGAACTGCTAGGGCTTGCAGTACATAAAAGAGTTGTATGGTCGCATGACCACCCATGTATAAAGGATTACTGAAATAATGCATCTCAACAGCTTTGAACTTTATGAACTTCATAACCCTTTACACTTCTGAAATATTTTTATGCGCATCATTGAAATTAATCCATTAATTGATCATTTCCCTTCATACAGGCAATCCTGGACCAAGTCAAACACTGCCTCAGGAATGGCTGTCAATAACAAACCGTAAGGAAGAACACAATGCTTATTTTCAGGATTTTCCCCCCGAAATAATATTAGTGACTATTTCACACATTGCATTTCCATGTGTATGCCAATTTTATTTATTCGGACTACACTTAAAAATAAGCAGCCTGAGAGCAGCAAATATGAGTTTGTGCACCATATAACTATACTCAATAGCTGAATTTCCTAAACACATCTAATCATTGTTTTAAATCTGGATTTACTGCCATGCTATGGATGAAATAGCCCATAGGTGGACTGTGAATGGCTTGGACAGTAATGACTGAAACACAGACATTGTCAGTGTGTCAGTAGGACAAACTTGCATGTCTAATTATCAGATGGGAATTATGATCCAGGATCATTTGGTGGACCATGGTCTCAATACCTTCCAGTGACTTCCTTGCTAGTGAGGTAAAGAACACAGGCTTGGAGCTGTCCAAAGCATTGAACCTGATTTGGAAATAGAGCTTAGCAAGTTGGAAAGATTCTTCACAGTTCACACTAAAGAGTCACAAGCCCACTCTCATAGAATGATTTAGCAGTTACCATTGATCCTGCTTAAACACTTCTGTGCTTTCTCATTATGGGAAAAATTGCTTTGAACCCTTCATCCAGACCAAGCCCGTAGCCAGGATTTTGATTCAGGGGGAGCTGAGTTTGATGCGGGGGGGGGGGGGGGGGGGGGGGGGGCTGAGTCTGAGTGAAAGAGGGTCTACCCTAGCAAACCTTTTGTATCATTACCCCAATACCCCCATGCATATGGGATATATTGAGCATGGTGATCAGATCGTGATATGAATAAACATAACAGTTTAAATAATGTACCAGTAAGGCCTTCTCACGGTCCACCCAGAGAATTTCGGCTACATGCCTGATCCAGACAATAGCAAAAAAGGCAAAAACTATTCTATTTTACTCCCAAAGATCCTTTTAATTACTTGGATTACAGCTATGTTGTAGATATGCTTCCCCCTCTACACACATGTTTAAAATGTGAAAAGGACATGAAGTTTGTATTTTCTTCCTGTTGTCTTCATTCTGTGTTAATTTTGCTTGCATTAATTTATGGATGATCTTCAGGAGCAGACTACAGAATTAAAATGCTCTCAGTTGTTTTCCAAAGTATATCAGAGTTGTTCTTCAGTTCTGTGCATGATGGATACGTGACTACCAAATGCTCCCCAAAACCAGAACTTGGAAAAGTTACTTTTTGAACCACAACGTCCAGAATTCATAGCCAGCATAGTGACTGATCATGATGTCTGGGGGCTCCAGAATTACTCCATGCCATGGATAGTGCATACCTTAAGGTCATCAGATTCCATCTGAACTTGGAAACTAACCAGTGTCAGCCTTCATTTGTACTTAGTTGGGAGACTACCAAAAATCCCAGGTGCTGTAAACTATATTTCAGAGGAAAGAACCGGATAAACCACCTCTGGGTATTCCTTGCCTAAGAAGACCCTATGAAAATTCACGGGGTCAGTGTCAATGAAAGGCTACTTGAAGGCACATGCACACAAAGCACACACACACCACCGAGAACAGCATTTAATTGGAATTCATTGTTTGTAATTATTTTCTTTCTCTTTATAGAGTTTCTCCTTCTTCAGACAAAACTGTTGGACCAAAGATGTATGTATTCTCTTTCATTTCCATATATTTAGATTGATTCTTGAAAAGAGTGTTCAGATTAAATGAAAACCTTCAAAGGATGACTATAATGATAAAAGGGAACACACAACTCTCCAGATGTTATTGTTCTGCAATTTTGATCACCCCATACTATTTGTTATATGGCTATGGCTCATGGCATTTGTAGTCTAGCATCATCTTGAGACCTAGATCAGTGCCTGGAAAAAGCAGATTTACTTTCTGGCTTATTTTGGCCGCAGTCCTGTATGCACTGTCATCAGAATAACCTCTGTGGAACTCATTGTGACTAACATCTGAATGAAAAGGCATAACCTTGTAAACTTAATTCTTCTTTAGTACTATTCTTCTATTATGAGCTTGTGTTGGGGGCCCTGGAACTGTTTTAAGATGGTGGTTGTGGACCTCATTTCCCCACATATAGCTCCTACATGGTGTGAAAAACTTATTTTCCCTATCATTCAAGCATCCTAAAATATGAAAACTCTTATAAGTTCACATAATAGCATCCTCCATGTATTCAGTGAAGTTCACTCCTGGCTGGGATAGGTTGCAGGCAGCCTTTATTATTCTTTATAGAACTCTCTGTCTTAATATTTCATCATGCTTGTTCATTCACTACAGAGTATTCCCAATTAGTCTCAATTATATAGGAATCTTGGTGGTCAAATTATGCTGGAGGATGGGATGCTTAGCCCCCCAGCCTAGCCTTGTTTTTTCAGCCTTCCCACATAACCATTTCCTGGGGTCAATAACTTCAATTGCAGTGGGTCCCCAGATGTTTTGTTCTTCAACTCCCAGAAATCCTAACAGCTGGTAAACTGGCTGGGATTTCTGGGAGTTGTGGGCCAAAACACATGGCGACCTCATAGGTTGAGAACCACTGTTTTAGAAAGCATCCACTAAGATTATGCACAATGTACACTGAGTCTGAACCACACCAAAAATGTCCAAAAAATGTTAGAATGCTAGAAAAGATGATTGAATATCACAGATGTTCCTAAAGACAGGGGAAATAGAGACTATCTTACATTAAAATAGTTGTAATAATAGCATAAACATAACAACTGAAGCAAAGTGGCTATAAAAAATAGTAATTACCAAAGCTTTTTGGTTGTGTGCCATAACGTCATTTCCAGCTTATGGAGACCCCAAGGTGAATTTATGATGGTTTATATTGGCAAGATTTGTTTTTCTACTGCTTCTTCTGGGGCTGAGTAAGTGTGACTTACTCACAGGCACCTAATGTGTTTCCTAATGTGTTTCCATTCAAACCCCGGTCTCTAGAGTTGTAGACGACACTCAAACCACTACTTCATGCAGGCTCTCTACTGAAGTGTAGCTAATTCAAAACTTGTAGTTTAGTGAGGCACTACCCCTTTTAGACAGAGAAAAATTAAAATCCTTCTAAAACTACGACTCCCATGACTCCATATCATTGAGCCATAGCAGTTAAAGTGGTGTCAAACTGCATTAATTCTACTAATTCTAATCTATAGTCCAGCACTCAAATCGTTACACCATGCTATCTTTCTTGGGTAGGATCTACTCCCAGGTAAGTAGTACATGGGTGTATTATCTTCATTCACACACACTCCACTCCAATCCAATCAACAGGATGATTTTCTTGTAATGGATGTGCAATTATTGATCAGTTGATTTCCTAACCTGTATTTCTCCCCTAAACAGGACATAAGGTTATGCTAGTTGTCTAAAAAATAAATATTGCATTTTGTTTTCCAGGACAATCTACTCCTCGGAACCGATTGCATCTCCAAAAGAACCAATTGCATCTCCAAAAGAACCGATTCCAGCTCCAAAGCCAAATGTTGTTGCAAATAATCGACCCACCACAAGGTAATGAAAGCTGATATAGCTGATGATTAGCTCTTCTTGTGGCACTAATGGCATGGTACAAAGCAGCCAAAAACAAATGCACCACTGATTTCAGATAGAGAGATCTAGGTTCAAACAGTTGTAATAACGCAAACAAAATCTTTTGCATATCTCCTTTGATGAGATCCCAAAATCCAGAAAAACTAGACATTACATATACATGTTTGCACAAAAACCTGGATAGTGTGTGTCTTTTTCTGGGCAAATAATATTGAGAGTAAGTGTGATCTAGTGGTTGAACATTGGACTATGGCTCTGTACTATACCATAGAAGCCTACTTGGTGACTTTACATCAGTGGTTCCTAACCTTTTTTCGACCAGTAACCTCTTTGAACAGGGACCACTTTGACCAGGGACCACTCTCCAACATTCGTACCACAAAGGTTAGAAATCAGTTGTTGGTCAACTTTAGATTTGGTTTGGTTATTTGGGGCGCTGATTCAGAAAATTGCATTGGATAGACCACATCAGCTCTAGTTTCTGATACAGAAGATATGCCACCCAGTAGTCTCCATCTGCTGGCCTACAGAAAACCATATTTAATAATCTAGAGCTGATGTGGTAGTAGTAATCTTTCGTGGGTCAGCCTCTTCCCTCCCGACATCCCTGTGGCCTCAGCACTATAAGAGGATTTCACGAGACCAGTCACTCTTGTTGCCATGTAGTTTTGAGGCAATGGTGTAGTAATAGTGAGGCTGCAAACCATATTTTTGTTCTTGAGGACCACTGCTGGTCCATGGACCACAGGTTGGGAACCACTGATTTAGGCACTCTCTCTATCTCAGAGAAAGACAAAGGCAAGTGCTCCTTTAAACAAATCTGCTCCACCCACCCACCCATTCTCTTCAATCCCAGATTGGATTGCCTTAGGGCAGGGGTGTGAAACTCATTTTCACCAAGGGCCACATCATCCTTATGGTTGCCTTCAAAGGGCCAGTTTTAATTATAAGACTGTATAAATGGAACTATGTTGCCCTGTCATTGAAAGCCTCACAGGCCACATAAAGAGACATGACAGGCCAGATTTGGAGATTTGGCCTGTGGGTCTCACATTGGACACATGTGCTTTAGGGTTTCCATAAGTTGAAAATAAAACCTGAAGGCACACGACAATAATGATTGAGCAGGGACTGAAGTATCACAACACACAAAGAAATAAGAGAATAAACAAAAAAGTGCTGTGTATAGAATAACTATCAAGGGGAAGGCAGACTCTTGTGGCACAAGATTTATGGGCATTTCCTTTCCACATTTGGCTTTCTTCCTTCTTCAAACTCTTCTTGGAAATCTGCATCTTCTGGCATTAAAACCAAGGCACAAGAACCAAAATTTAACAAATAAATGATATCCCGTTCCCCCAAACATTTTGGAATTCCCTTCAGGCATAGCACCTTGTATTAAATTATTTCTATCATTGAGGTTTATAGTGGTGCAGGATAAAAATTACTTATTCTAAAATAAATATTATTGAATAAATGTACATGATAGAATCACAGAGTTGGAAGAGATCTCGTGGGCCATCCAGTCCAATCCCCTGCCAAGAAGCAGGAAAATCACATTCAAAACATCCCCGACACATGGCCACCCAGCATCTGCTTAAAAGCCTCCAAAGAAGGATCCCCCACCACACTCCAGGGCAGAGAATTCCACTGGTGAACAGCTCTCACAGTCCTATTGTTCAGGTGAAATCTCCTTTCCTGTAGTTTGAAGCCGTTGTTGCACGTCCTAGTCTCCAGGGCAGCAGAAAACAAGCCTGCTCCCTTCTCCCTATGACTTACCTTCACATATTTATGGTCATCATGTCTCCTCTCAGCCTTCTCTTCTGCAGGCTAAACATGTCCAGCTCATAGGGATTCATGGTCTCCAGACCCTTGATCGTTTTAGTCACACTTCTCTGGACACATTCCAGATTGTCAACATCTGATATTGTTATAGTTCAATGTAAAGTAATGAATGGGTCCCTGGATTCCCTCCTGATGGCTTTGGTCCACTTTGCCTTGATTTGGATTCTAGATATGTCATTGCTTGATGCATGATTTCCAACACCTTTTCAGATATCTTTATTGCCCGGATACCAAATTTCGCAACCTATTTTGGAATGCTATGGAATAATCCAGGAACAAGCTTTGCCTCCTCTCGTGTGAAACTTTGAGCCCTGAATTATTTCAGGAAGACAACAATGAGCCGGGGGAGGATTTCTCTTGTCAGGCCTGGAGATCTTAGAGAATAAGATATTGACGAATTAACTTGGGAAAGCAGCTGCTGCTATCCACTCGCAAAGCCTTGCTTAAACCTTTCCTAATCCCTTTTCCTCGTTCATTTCGCATTCGCCCTCCCCGGTGGGTCTTTATTAGCATATCAAGCATTTTGTTCCTGTTTCACTGTTGGTGGAGGACTGTGGCAACCATCTTTGACTGCGCTCACCAGTTGCTATGACAACCTCGCAATATGGCTTATTCTGTGTCAGCGTCTCAACGATATGCAGCTTGGAACGCTTAATTGGGAACAGTCTTTCTTTTCACTGCTGGAAAGACATCCCTGAATTGACACTTGATGGGACGGACCTCCCACCAACAGTTGCCAAGGGAAGCTTCGTAATTAAAACTCAAGCACACACATTATATTTAGTTCTGAAACATGATTAAAATAGAACTCATTTTTGGGGGTGGGAATAATATAATAGATGTTGTAGGGAAATGCAGGCTTGCCAGCCACAGTGAAAGCTTAAGCATCTTTGCTAGGAAGCTTCTGTAAAAGAAGACAAACCAATTGAATATATATATATATGAATGACCAGGGCGATGAGGAGACTAAGGTAGTGGTGGTGTGTGTTGCTGAAGCTTGACTTTTAAAATGTTTTTACCTGAGGCACTTTTTAAAAGGAGTAACTCATTACCTCAACCAGAATCCTTTCTTCCAATATCTTCAGCCGCCTTCTTCTGATGTAAATCTTCTTCTCAATAAATGGACTTGAGTCTTAATTATAAAGAACTGATCAAGGAAATATTTATTCAAGGATTCACAGGTGTACAAAGTTTGATGGTTTTCTTGTATTCCTTTAAATGTTGTTACAGTTGACTTTAGTTAACACCAATACTTGTAACAGTTTCCAATATAACTCTCAGTATGGCTTTTACTTCCACCAGACTGGTTTTAAACTTATTTCACTGCAAAATATCTTCCTTTTCTTAACTGACAATTCAAGGCCCTGGCTTGCCTTTTTCTCCCTTCAGCTATCCCCACTGAAGTTATGGATTACTACTGGGGTTTCTTTTTCTCCTTGCTCACGAGCTAATTGCTAATTTAAACAGGTCCAATTGACTCTCTAAACACACAGTCTGAAGACTTAAATCCCTTGGTTCAGTTTCTCAACACACCAGAACCAACTTTCCTCTTTGGTTTTCTCACCAAAGACTGACTCTCTCTTCACGAGTGGCAGTTAGCTCCGCCCCTTTTGCTTCTGCCTGGAGGCCTACGTCGCTATGGCAACCCATTATCTAAGGCAACCACAGCAAATGTTGGCCTGCACCTATCATATCACAACATCAATAAACACATTAAAAACAGCTTCATTACAGCTTCCTTTCCAATCTATGAAAATGCCTATTTAATTTAGAAATCACCATACTGAGCAACTCAAGAGATTTTGGGCAGACTGTAAAGCAGGCATGGGCCAACTTGGGCTCTTCAGGTATTTTGGACTTCAATTCCCACCATTCCTAACAGCCTCAGGCCTTTTACTTTCCCCCTCGGCCGCTTAAGCGGCCGAGGGGGAAAAGGCAAGGGCCTGAGGCTGTTAGGAATGGTGGGAATTGAAGTCCAAAATACCTGAAGGGCCCAAGTTAGCCCATGCCTACTGTAAATTCTCCTTCATGACTCTATTTAGTTTCCTAATCCTCGGCTCCCATTTGTGGCCTAGCCTTCTGTGAGGTGAATGTTAATCAGCCTGACTCTGTCTGGTCAATGTCTTGGCACAGAGGGAGACTCCCTCCTGAATTGGAGCAAATGCTATTCCCGTATAAGCTTCATTTACTGGCTGGCTCACAAATTGCCCCATGAGGACTGACCGCGACGCAAATAGCCTCAGCCCTTGCAAAACAGACGGTCAGTGACGTATGGAGGGCACAGGGACAGGAGGCAAATCCTCTTTGGCTTTGACAATAGATTGCCCTTTTCCATTGTGAACTCTTCCACCGGAAAAGAACATTAGCATTGCCACTTGTTTTGTTTTTGTGTGTGTTTATGTCAACATCCTTATGCAAATTGCCCACATAAAGGTATGATCCCATTTTGAATAGGCTAATAAGAGCATAAGAAGAGCCATATTGGATTTGCTCCAGCATTTTCTATGCAACATTCTCCATGTTCAGGACAAATATTCGTTCTGGTTGCTTGCTGTTTGCTTGGCAGTAAAACAAATTAGAATGGATTTAGAGTTGCTTGCATTGGGAATCAACCAGTCATAATCAGTTGGACATAAGCAAGTCCTAAGTGACATAGATTTCATTGATTTTGGTGTGCATACTGAGAGCTGCATCTATACAAGTGGTTCCTAGTTTTTGGTCCTCCAGGTGTTTTGGACTTTAGCTTCCACAATTCCTAACAGCTTGTAAAGTGGTTGGGATTTCTGGAATTCAAAGTCCAAAACAATTGGAGGACCACCTTTGGTCTTCCGGGTGTTTTGGATTTCAGCTTCCACAATTCCTAACAGCTCGTAAACTGGTTAGGATTTCTGGAAGTCAAAATCCAAAACAACTAGAAGACCAACCACTGATCTATATTGTAGGATTATTTATATATCATCTCAAAAGCAAACCAAGGGCACGGTTGTAATGTATTTAAAAACACAAAGTTTTAAAACTTGGCATTATACTAAATATCCTCTGACCAGTAGCTGGCTACTTGGAGTGCTTCTGGTGTTGCTATAAGAAGGTCCTGCATTGTGCATGTGGCAACCAGAAGCAACTTGCAGCATTGTAGGATTAATGCAGTTTGACGCCACTTTACATGCCATGACTCAATGCCATGGAATGAAGGGAGTTGTAGCTTGGTGAGGCACTGGCCCTCTTTAGTAGCAAAGGCTAAAGACTGTCAAACTACAACTCCCAGGATTCCATAGCATTGAATTGTGGAAGTTAAAAAGGAGTCAAGTTGCATTAATACTACACTGTAGATGTACCTTAAATCTGGATCCAAGCCACTGAAATATTGTCTTAAATTAAATTAGTAGTCTCAATTAGAGTACAACCACAAAACTAGAATGGGAATTGGACCCATCAATATTACTGTGAATGGTGCTGATCTACTCTACTCTAGACCTAACATTTGGTCTAAAGTACAGTAGTTCAATACAACTCACAGAAATATTTTGCATCTAGTTGCCATTCTGATTTGGTGGTTGTACTCTAGTTGGGACTACCAATTTGGATTTAAAGTATCATTTGCTTTAGTTTTAAAAGACGTTTTTATATGTCCTTTCTAATGCTCATGTATCTCATACATTACCTTCAATGCAAGTAACGAACATTAACTCTGAGTACATATGCATACAATTACACTCTTACTCATAATGTTTTGACTACATCTAAGATCAGTAAAAAGCACGCCACTAACAACAACATATTCCTGAAATGCATTTAATAATCATTGTTCATGTTCATGTATTTTCTGCTCTCATTATATTGATGCTGAAGCCTTAAACATTTACTCTGTCATAGCTATAGGTTATGCCCCTTTGTTCCTCAAATTTTCTGTGTGGTATGATCATATTCATGCTCTTGGTAATGGTGTCCTCAGCAAATAAACTTCAATTTGGGAGACATTTTGCCACTGATTTTTTCATTGTTCTTTGTGATTGAATTGATATTTAAACTTTCTCCAGATTTTACAGAGATGTTTTTAGCATTGCCCCTTATTGATGATGAGCTGCTATATTGCCAACTCAATCAGCATTAACTTTTATTCATGCGAAAAAGAGACACTTTGATTTATTTGGTGGAACAGCAATGCTGGAGAGTGATTGTATTTCATCTAGAGTGCCTGGCTTAGACATTGAGATACTGATGGTTGGGCGGCATGTTCATATATCTCAATTGATGATTCACACTGCAGATACTGTTCCCCTTGCCAATGTTACTTTTCTTGATCTTGATCCCTAGATGTTTCATTTATGGTTTCAGTCATTTGGATGATCCTATTGACACTTGGCATGTCTAAAGGCCAGTATCCGACAGAAGGTTCAATAGAGATTTACTGCTACTTCTCTGGATGATCTACCTAGCTGGCCAAACACATTTTCTGCCTGTAGCAAATGACATGTTGTTGTCTCCTCTGATCCACAAGAAAAAGTCAGCTATATCAGGAGCTGAACCATAACTCAATCCTGGCAGCAGGATAACTTCCTCTGGTATATCTGAGAGCATCAATAGCACACAGCTGCCTATTTCAAGCCTCCAGTTCATACTTTGCTGCAACTTTTCGTGTGAACTAGACATTTATGTATCAGTACTGCTATAAGAATGAACCCTGTGGCAGAAGACTATCTTCCTTTTCTGTTGGCTGGCAGGCAAATGGCATGTAAACCTACCCCTCTATTCAAGACTTCCACAAACCTGGAGTGTGTACCCACTCTTAGAAAAGTCCTTTTGCAGTATTGGGGAGTCAGTTTCAGATTAGTTTTATTTGGCTATGCCACAATGTCCCTTACTTAACTCTGTATGAATACAATATGCCTGCTAAAAAGAAATCAATGGCAACCTGATGCTGAACACTGTCCTTTCCTCTTTTGTCTGTTTAAGGAATATTATATGTTTCTAAGTACAGTAGGCCTTCAACATTCACTGGGTTAGGAGTGCTATTTATTTCACCCAAGATAACATCTTTCCAGGAATCCCTACCTCCTCCAGGCTGATTCAATAGCTGACCATAGAATCATACTGGGTGACCTAACATTCCCAGAGCAGTATCCTATCTAGGAATCTCTAGGTGCTCCCGTGCAACTCTGTGGTCAACACCTGGCAAAAGTTGTCCATATAATGACACTGGACAACCTACACATGCCTAGAGAATTGTTAATCTATTAGGCCCTATCTACCCTGACTATTAAATACTGATCAAACTGCACTATATGGTCAGCGTAGACTGAAATAATTCAGCTCAATGCAGTTAAATTGCATTATAGGAGTCTACACTGACCATTTAATACTGTTCAATCTGCATTAAATGGTCAGAATAGATGGGGCCTAGCTATCTCTAAGGCTTCCAAAGGTTAAATTCCAGTGGGCACTGACCATAGGGTCATACTTTAGGACCTAGAGATTTGTAGGAAAAATATTAATCAAATCTGCATATAACCAAATCCTCAAAAGTTGAACCCATTAGTGTGGGGAACTGATTGTACTCTCACACAAATAAAAATGCATTGTTTATGTATGTTAGTAAAAGACTGAGGAAAAGATTGCAATTCATGCGTAACATCACCATGACCCCAGAAAGTGAACCTGGCTATGACTTATCTCTATATTTAGATGCTTACTCCTGACCCGATGTGATCAGGAGCTGGCCTGGCTGTTTTCTGGCAGACAGCCTGATCTACCTTTTCAAGACTTTCTAAAAACATTCCCTTGAGACATAGGGCTTACCATTACTTCTCCCAAAGTATGAACTTAAAATTAGTTTTTTCCATGTAATCCTATAAATTAAAATAAAATGCAGACATGAGTTCACTTTGAACTTTTCCTTTTTATCTACTGCTAGACTTTAACATTTTTTTAATGGGTTTGGTTTTAACATTTTTGTTTATTTACCAATGTATTAATATATGGCGTTAAACTGTTGCCTTTGTAAGGCCACCCTGAGTTCTTTTCATGGTTGAGAGGGGTGAGATAGAAATGTGGTAAATAAATAAATAAATATTATTGTAAGTCTGTACATTTTAATATTGAGAAACTTCTTCCGGTTTTGTTGCTTGCAGGTTTTTTAAAGGGGAAAAAAGTAAGAACCATGAGAGCTTTCTTCATTAATAAATATCAGATTGTCCCAAGATTTACTTTTTTTTAGTTTGTCTGGAAAATTAATAACAATTTCTCTATCTACCTAATGTCTAATTGTGTGGGGTTTTTTTAAAAAAAGTATTTTTGTTATTTAAATCTATTTTACTTGTTTTATAGGCAGATATCTCCATTGAAATTAAATGAAACGGATGGTAACAGATCTCCAACTACAGACAGAGCTGGGAGGTATTTACTTATTTATTTACTGTATTTATATCTTGCCTTTCTCTACCCCAAGGGGGGCTCAAGGTGTCTTACATATGGCACCTACACAGTGTCTAAAAACATACAATGTTAAATTAAAAATAAATTGGATTAAAATTAATACATATTCAACATAATTAAAATACATTCCAATGTTAAAAGGTATAATATGTTTATAACTATATATCCATATTATATTATTTATTATATTTGGATGTCATTTTAGAATGAGAATAAATGATCTAGATTAATGCCAAAGAACAGGATCATATCTGGACTGGACTGATTAGAAGTTTCAGTTTGTCTTTTCTGTGCAAAAGTTAGACATGATTTTTTTCTGCATAGAAAATGCTCTTTTCTGTGCAAGGAACCCATGTGTGATTTTTCTTTCACATAGTAAGTTCTAAATTACAGCCTTTTTTTCCTTGTGTAAAAAAATATTTCTGCATGGAAATAATATTGTGTGTGCAGAAAATATCTTCTCTGTATTAAAAATCCAATTGCAGAAGAAATTCTAGGCTACAAATAGTCTTTGAAAACTGCCATTTTTCATGCTTTCCTGCAACTGAATTTTTAATTGAAATTCCTTGTTGCTTCCTTCAACAATGAAAGTAGCTGAGAATTATACTGCTACTTTATAATGCAGTCTTTTATTTTAACTCATAGACAATATGAGTTCAAGTGATCTGCAATCAATGGGTTGGTTCCATTTCAGAGAACCTGAAATTTATTCCAAAGAGAAGGATGTTGGAATTTATTGAAATGAGGAAATATACCATAATACAAGAAATTCACATTTAGTTCATTTAATTTTATTTTTGGTTTTAGTCCATGTCTTTCCTAATTCTGTGTGTCTGGATAAAACACACTTGATTCTATTGACAGAATTGCTCTTTTAAAGATGGGACATTTCTATATTCCACACAGTATTAGAAATCTCATTGCAGCAGCCACATGCTATTGTTCATATCTTAAACATTGATGCCCACAGTACAAGTTTTATATTGTGTATCTTAATTTTGTCTATTTAGTGCACTAGGGTTAACATAAACCATAAGGGATATTTACAAAGGACAGCGTGTGTCTAAACATTTCAACATTTTCTTTGTTCAAAAATTAAATCTAGCTTAACAATAAAATTGCCATAAATATACTTCAATTTCAGCTATAAAGATGCCACGCGCTTTATATATTTTGGAGATGAAATTTATAACGCTGCATACTTGACCACTGAAATATTTCTCTAATTCCTTCTTCTATTGTTTTCATCTCCAAAGAAACCAAGACTTGGAAAACCTCATTAAAGTCAAAGCCAAAGAGAATAAAACCAACCAGAAGTAAGACCTTGTTACCCTATTTATTTTCAAAGATTAAGCTATGTATGGGTTATGCTTGCAGTGTGAAAAATAGAGGACTGGGAATAAAGATTACATGCAGAAAATTGTTCAAATGGTTCACAACCACAGTTGGAAGATCTGATAGTTTTCCGACAGAGAATGGCCTGCTCTTCTCCTAGGGGAATCTGAAAAGATAGGGTAGTATGCCACTATGACCACAAGGGTGGGGGCAGGCATGTGGGGGGGGGTTGAGGGGCTTCAGCCCCCCCCCCTGAAATTCTCAGTGATAAGGCCTTACTGGTACATTATTTAAACTGTTATGTTTATTGATCACTGTGCTCAATCTATCCCATATGCATGAGGGTATTGGGATAACGATACAAAAGGTTTGCTAGGGTGCATCCTCAGCCCCCCCCCAATCAAATTCACCCCCCCCCCGAATCAAAATCCTGGCTACGGGCCTGGGTGGGGGCTACCCTATATACTAGTGTATAAGTTGATGTCATGTATAAGTTGAAAGAGGGTTTGGGTTATGGATTTTGAGATGATCCATGGATTCTGCAAAGAGGGAAAATTCCCATTGCCAACCCAGCTCCCCCCACCTCCACCATTTTCCTATTCAGACATTCAAAAATAGGCCAGAAGTGGCACTACAGCAGAGAGAATAGAGGAGGTCAGTGCTTCTTTTAGAGGTTCTCCTAGGAGAGAGTAAGCTCTTGCCTTTTACCACTCTATTGACCCATGGATAAGTTGACCTCATTTTGGTGGGTTAATTTTTTTAAACTAAAATTTCTATGCTTGTATACGATTATACCGCAAGAAGATCCAACCAGTCCATATTTCAGGAAATAAAGCCCGACTGTTCATTGGAGGGATAGTAGAGGCAAAGATGAAGTATTTTGGCAACATCATGAGAAGAAAGGAAAGCTTAGAGAAGAGAATTATGCTGGGGAAAATGGAAGGAAAAAGGAAGAGGGGCCGACCAAGGGCAAGATGGATGGATGGTATCCTTGAAGGGACTGGCTTGACACTGAAGGAGCTGGGGGAGGTGACGGCCAAAAGGGAGCTCTGGCGTGGGATGGTCCATGAGGTCACAAAGAGTCAGAAGCGACTGAACGAATGAACAACAACAACATACGAGTATATAGTGCAGATGTTTGGAGACTCCAAAATGAGTTAGCCTTCAGTCCCATTTCCCCCCAAGGACCCTTGAGAGAATTCCCCTTAGCTTTGGCTCTTCCCACTCCCCAAAGGCCACTGGAAGGAGGTGGTTTAGCTCACCTATCTCTTTCTGTCAAATATATGGATGTTGCACCAACTCCTTCTTGTCTATTTCTCAGCTAAATGTAATTGTTCATATCTTAAAGGTAGATGGAAACTGGTGTAAAGAATGATGATTTTGTCTTAAATGCCTGAGGAAGAGGGCTGAGAAACATATGCTACTAGGAGACTGCTTATTACAACCAGCTAATACCAAACTATTTGTTCTAGCTGCCTTACATTTTCTTTGGTGAAAAATGAAACAACCAACATGGTCATGCATATACTCTAACTTGAGGTATTAAGATTCTGGTTTATGTACTTTGAATATGAAATTCTAGCTACATGATCTCTGAATTATATGTGTATTTCTTTCCATTGATTTTGTTCATTCTGGAAGAAACCAAGGCCTGGACAATTTCACTCAAAACAAAGACAAAGTTAAGAAACAAGACCAGAGGTGAGTCTCAGAAGACAATTTTATTTCATTTATTTTGCAGCACCAGGCTTTGAGGAGAATTCAGGCAAAATAAGAATAGTATGACATTTTGAGATTCTTCCAGCAGTGTTCCCTTGCTGTGTTCCTGGAGCTCAGCTAGATTTGGAAACATTGGATTTAGATGCTCTCTTCTCTGCTGATTGTCCTCAATGAACATAGATATCTCTGTGCGTGTGCCTACAAGTTGCCTGCTGATTTATGGTGATCTCATGAATTTTTCCAAGGGTTTTCTTGTATAAGAAATACTTAAAGGTGGTTTTACCAGGTTTTTTCCTTTAAAATATAGCTTCCAGCAACTGGTATTCATTCCAAGCAGTAACCAAAGTTGTCTTTATTTAGTTTTCAAGATCAGATGGAATCTGGTACCTGTAATAAGGTTCCATAGAATCAGAGATATACAGTAAATCATTAATATAAATATGGGAGTTTTTGCCCTTCTATAATCCTATCAGGGATTTCTAATACAATGCATAAACGTAGAGGTGATACAAATAGGTCAAAGCTGCTAGTGATCTTAAAAAGTTACATTTGTTGTATGAGAGTGGGCGTGAACCCATAGTCTCTTTGCTGGAAATGGAAGTGGGTTGCTCTCCCACCTCACCCCCAATTTACCAAAAACTTCCTTTGTTTTTGTTTCACCTTTGAAGACACCAAGAACTGGATGATGTCACCCAAGTAAATCATGCATCTAATGGACACAGCAAGGGGTGAGTCTTGCAATCAAATTACTTATTATTATTATTATTATTATTATGTTTATTTATATCCCATTTTTCTCTCCATACGGAGACTCAAGGCATTTCACAACTAAAAGCATTGCAATATAACTTAAAACATACAAGTATCAAAGCAGTATTAAACATCATTAAAAGCATATCAAATCACAGCAGCCCCTGATGATCTTAAAAACCTTCTTCTTTAAAAGTCTGCCTGAATAAAAAGGCTTTACCTTGCTGCCTAAAGGAGAGCAGGAAGGGGCCATTCTGGCTTCCCAGGGAAGAAGAAAGTTCCAGAGTCAAGGGACAGCCAATGAGAGAGAAGGTCCACTCACTCATTCCCTCCAACCGAGCTTGTGGTGGAGGTGGGACTAAGAGAAGGGTATCTCCTGAAGATCTCAGGGCTCGGGTAGGTTCATACAAGGAGATGTGGTCGGTCAAATACTACACTGTAATATAATTTCTAAACCAATGTAACTTCCATTATTGCCTCCTATCGATTTAGTTACAATGTGACTTCAAGAAAGATCTTAGTGGAAAGCTTAAGGTGAACCTATCAAGGGGTTTTCTTGGCAAGATTTGTTCAAGAGGGTTTGGTATTACCTCCCTTTGAAGGCAACTATGGAAGGCTAGGGTAGCACATTATCCTCTGTAGAAGAACTTGGAGGGAAATACATAATTCTCATAAACAAATAAAACATCCCCCTCCCTGCCCAAACGCCTTTGGGAGTATGTTATTCTGTACTCCTTTTCACCCCAGTTGAAACTCTTCCCAAGGAGCTGTCAGGATCTGAGAAGGTCTACTGTTTAGTAGTATAGAAGGGTGAGCAGGGGAAGGCAATTCAGATTATGAATGTATGGCAGATCTGATCTTTCAGAAGAAGAAAAAGAAGTTTACACCCAATTTGTGAGCACACCACCATGTCTTTCCCCTGCAAGCTTATTCTGCTCAATGGCGGCACTCGGCCATGAGTTGTTTAATCCATTTGTTCCTGAACCTTTGACTACATTTATTGTTCTAATGCATCTAAATTGCTTTTTAAACTCACTGTATGGTTCTGATTTATGTGATAGCAGAATCTGAAAGTTGGCATTATGATCAAAACCAAACACAAGCCCCATCTTTATTTCAGCTGAATGTTTAGACGCTTCCTAGTGCTATTTCTTCAAGAAACAACATTACATATTACCTTCGCTATGTAGCTTTTGTATTAAAGATACCCATTGAAGCCCCAATTTCAAATAATTTCAGTGATGTATAGACCATGAGAATGCTGCAGAAGATAAAGGGTAAAACCCACTAAAGACTAAATTCACCAATATTAATGCTAATGTCAGTGGGACCCTCTTTGTTGGAAATTTGGACAAAAGTTAGCCTTCACCCAGGACTAGAACTATGGAGCCAAAGTGGCTTGTACTTGGTCTTCATTGTATATCCTACGATGCACATATGCAACTAAAAGTAAGATCTAAAGATGGGACCTCTTAGCTAGTATTGGATAATACAATAACTTTGCTTAGTTATTCAATATATAAAATTAGACTCACCATTACCTCTATAATCAGGTCATAGAACAATGGCATAGGTGGTAAGCATCCCCCTAAAAGCCGGTTGATTTGACCAAGTAATAAAGAAGAAAAATATCTTCCTACAAGCTTCCCATGAATCACTTTGGGCCAGTGCAAACTATGCAACTGTGTCTGTTGCAATACTTCTAGAAGATATAGCCCAATGATGAAAACCTCAGTGGCAAACCACAGAAGTTGTTGACTCTTAGTTCCCATGACTCAAGTACTGGAGAGAACAATATGTTTTCCTACAATTATGGAAATTGCCAGTGAAAAGTAATGACAATATTGGTGAAATTCTTTGCTGTTACAGAACATTTTTCACACAAAATGTGTCCCAGGGCTGTGTCCTCCAAGAACATGGCATGGAGAACAAAACTGAGTTCATGAGCTTTCCCTTTATCATATATTTATTATTCTGACACATATGTAGATATGGATTTCTTTACTCAAGAGTGTCCAAAAATATCATGAGCTTCATAGATATTCCTTTTAATGACAAATTAGCCAGAGCATTAGCCATTCTTGCTGAAAGATTCTGAGTGTTGCAGTCCAAAAAGTAACTTTTTCCATCTGTGAGAACAGTTACATGGAATCATGTCTCTAGCTCATATACCTCCTCCTGCTGGGCCCTTCCATTCCCATCTTGTAAAAAAAGTGACACTGGATACAGACTATATTTTAAGTATTTTCAGAAATTATCTGCATGAGCATCAAACCTTATCCAGAGTTTGACAGGGAATAACAGACCTTGGAGGCAGGGAGATGTCATGTGCCAAGAAGTGTAGGGTGGTTCTGCTCAATTTTTACATCATCCACACTATAGCTAAGAGTAATTGGGATGGTTGTGTGACCTCTTGATTCTCTGCTGCTTTTGCTGTATTTATGTTTCCCTTCTTGAAAGTATTGTCAGCCCAGGCTTATTGTATTTCAGCTGGTGTGACAGCAGTAATTTTTTGAACTTATTCCCCAAATATTCAAGGTTTCTTTTCACTAGACAGTTATCCTTTTGATACCACTCCATCTTAAAGAACCTGGGCTTTCTAATTCCATATGGTTGCTAGAATTCCCTGCCAGTGAGCTCCAGTGCTTCAGCACACTAAAAATCCCAGGATTTTTAAAGGGATGCAGCCATAAGTGTCAAAGAACAATCTGTCTCTGCATCTGTGGTGCCTGTATCCAGAGATTCAACTATTTGTGGCTTGAATTTTTTTTAATTCCAAAATCAAATTTTGATTTTGCCATTTTTATAAGGGACACCACTTTACTAATCAATTGCATATAATGGGACCTGAGGATTTGTGAGTTTTGGTTTCCACAAAGGGCCATGAAACTAAACCCCAGCAGATATCAAAAGCCCAATTCATGGTAATTGTGTGATGTGAAAGGACAGTAAAATTTCCACAAAGGAAGTGAAAGAGACCTTACATCAAATCCCCCCAAAGAATAGACGTTTTTTGGAGAGGTAGTCACAAACATTTGGAGGGCACCAGGTTGAAAACGATCAAAAATATTTTGGTCAAGGAATGGTCACAACAATATTAAGGCGGAGGTTGCTAACAGGATTTTCCAGTTGTAAGACTATATCTACATATGTTCTGGAAGGTCACAAACATTTTTAGTACAGAAGAGATCACCTTTCAGTGCCTAAGCCATCCTTTCTGCCTGTATTGCTAACAACAGCTCAAGTGATGGGTCTGACATTTACTTCAGAAAGTCCCACAGATGGGTGAGCATATTTCTTAAACTCCTGTTTTTCTTCTCATTGCCTGGTTCCATTTGTTTGTTTGCCTATTTTTTTTAGTTTAATTATCTTAAATTTATTAAGATCTTTGTGACCGCTTAACAGCTTTGTGACTATCTGCAATGGTATCAGGGGTGACACGACTTGAGCCATCTCTTAAGCTTTGCCCTGTGCTGATGCGTGCAAGGAAAAGGGGATAACAGTATCAACACATTTGGATAACTGATCCAGTCACCTTGAAGGTGGTCTGCTGTCCACACTCTTCTCAAAATTTGGGGCTTCTCCAGGATTTTGGCGAAACTTCAGAACACTCCCTGACTTTCCTTGGTGTAGGGCTAAACCAGTTCAATCTTGTTTACCCCACATTAAAGACTCAAGGCTTCATTAAGACAGCCAGGAGTGACCTCAGGGCCCCTTCAGGATTTGTGACCAGAGCAGATAAGCCCCACATCATTGCATAGACTTTGTGGAGACTACCTGATGTGAACATCTATAATTAACAAGGAAGCCTTCAGAGTCACCCTGGGCCTAGAAACAATTACTTGGAGCTCTGCAAAAAAAGTATTTCACTCCAACTCCTCTCTGGGGCATATTAATTGCACTGAAGTTTAATTATGTCTGATTATAAGTGACATTTTTAAGAACAAGAGAATTATGGGATTTACTCCCTTGATGTCATCATGTTGTTATTCTCAGACTTTCATAGGATTACTTTTTGGACTGGAACTCCAGTATTCCCTGGCTAGTATGATCATGGTTTGTGCTGACTCAGTAATCCTGGGATTTTGGGTTCAGAGAAATAGCTTGGCAGTTCTATTCTTCAGTTGTATATAAAGTTGTTTATGTTTCAAAAACCTTTCTAATGTTGTGGTACATTAACAATTAAGGACTTTGCTTGAGGTGTCCCTCCCCCCCCCCCCCCCCCCCCCCGCAATATCAGAAAGCATCACTGCTATGGCAGAGATTTGCCAGGCAAGATGCTTAGCATTTCCAGTTGCTTATGTCAGCCAAACAGAGACTGAAACATCATGGAATATATGCTAGCATTAGAGCTCTTCAGAAAACTTAGTTTTGATCATGTCACTCAATGAGAATACAATAATCTTGTGGAACATTTTAATATTTTAAAATCTTGGAAGAATGATATTTTACTGGAAGTATTAGTTGTTATGTAATTTAGGATAATATTCTGTACTTAACATACGAATGCCTTAATAGCTGAGAAGCCCTCGGATGATTACATCATACCAATCATTCTTACCTGTGACAAATCCCTTGCATTTCTTTTGAAGGTGTTACTTTTAGTCTGACATTCTCTCTTTTTGATTTCTTTGTTGTTCTCACAGAGAAAGGAACCTAGATGACCCCATTACTGAGGAGAACACGAAAGAGGAAAAGAGAAGGCAATATATTTTATATTCTTTTTTCATTCTTTTCCCTGGAGTTATGTGTTGCTCAAGTTAAAACTGAACACTTCTCATGCTTGCAGAGGGCATGTGTTTGGTCCTGCACACAAAGCCATCCCCATTTCCTTCTATGCTGCATTAACATCCAAATTGAAGACAGGTCAAGAGTTTTGTTTTAGCGTAAAAACAAATGAGTATCTGGAAATATTTGCAGATATACCATACCATACAGGTCAAAGGAGTCTACATTGGGATGCTCATGTTTGCATAAACGCAGAATGGGAAGTGTAAAACCCAGATCTGCAAAAGTACATTGTACTGTTGTGTGCCTCACTGAAATGAGTAAGGACTTATAGAATGAGCACACAGTGGTCATCAACAAAATATTTAAACTCTAAAAGAAGAATTTTCTAGACTGTTGGATGTTTGGTAACCAATGAGAATGTTATATACGTAACGGACAAAGTAAGAATTTGAGGTTATGTAACATATGTTGAACCAGGACTTCAAAACACAATGATTCAAATCCTGTTCAGTCATGGAAATCCAGCTGATAACCTTGCGCAAGTCACCCTCTCTTACCAGAAAGGCAAAAACAAACCTTCACTGAATAAACTTTGCCAAGAAAAGTCTAGGTTAGGGGCCAGTTTGGAGGTACATAGTGATAGCAATACACTGGACTTCTGATTACTTCTATGTAATTGATTCTAAATAAAATCTAATTGTGTAAGTTTAATATCACACTAGCAGAAAATCATTACCAAAATGGAATTTTATTAAGTGTGGAAAAAAATATTCAAAAATATTCAGAAAAAGTGTTGAGAACAATCTTGGATTATTGAGAAACTCTGAGATTATTCTGTGCCAAGTTCATGTGTAGCTTTTTTGCACAAAAAGCATTTTCCGTGCAAGAAATATTATTGCTGTTTTCTATGCAGAAAATGTTGTAATTGAGGATGTAATTTTCAAATATAGTTGATTTGCATAGGAAAAAACATTTTTTCCTGAAAATAGCATTTTCAGTGCACAAATTTATATTTTTGTGTTTTGATGTTATTTTTCCACACAGAAAAGGCTGTTTTCTGTGCAAAATAACCATACACAAATTTTACATAGAATAAGTCTCCATTGCAAATCACCTTCAAAAACTATTTTCAAAGACTTTGTCACAAGAGGTAGAAATGCAGAGAAGAATGACATCTTAATTTTCTTTCCCTCCCCTCTCCTGCTGTCCTCATGACAAAGAAAACATTAGCTAAGAGATACTTAAAGTAATGGTGCTCCATTCAGTCATGCTGGCCACATGACTTTGGAGGCGTATACAGACCACGCCAGCTCTTTGGCTTAGAAATGCAGATGAGCACTACCCCCCAGAGTTGGATTTGACTAGACTTAATGTTAAGGACAAACCTTTACCTTAAGAGTTGTTAGCTCTTGGGAGCAGGTATGAAAAAAGTGGGAAGAATTACTGTATTTCACCATATAATCACCTCAGATTTTATGCCAATTTTTTGCAAAAAAAAATGCAATGCAACCATTATGTTAAGCTTTTTTTTTAAAAAAACTGAACTGTCTTTGGTGCAAGATTAGGATGCATGGAAAATGCACATCTGACCATAACACATGACTTACTCATGGTAGCTTCAGTTGTCTGCACGCTCCCCTTCCACCTAAGTCTCTTCATTGGGTTGAACCTGAAAACTGACTCGTATGGTTTGTTTGGAGTACTGTAGTACTAAGGCTATTGTCACCCAGACCAAGGAAGAGCCATAGGTGCAAGGGGAGTGGGCGGGCAGGCAAAGCTTCCATGAGTGACATTGTAAGACTTACATTTTCCCACGCTAGCTAAACTGTACACTGACAAGGCACATGCACTAAGAATTGTAGGCTCACGGCCATTGGTGAATACATTACTGTTCTGTTCACCTTTTAAGTGGTGTGAGGTCGTAAACTAATTTGTGGGTACAATGATTATGTTGTGGTGAAGTTTATGTAGTAATATACAGTATATTGGGGGGGGACACCCTTCTTCAGGTTTCCATAAAAAAAGAATTTTGCCTTTAAATTGTACAAAAAGTGTCCAAGATTCCTTGAACATAGTACATTTCAGACTGGGATATTCATTGGCTTGGGCTGCAGTAATATGTGTTCCTATTTCAGAAGAAGTCTTATTAACTATGCTTGAAGTTACATGTAAGGAAATATAACATAGGACCAGGTCATGAATTTGAGTAATCATTCTCAATGTCCAGCAAATTTGATGTTTGAATTGTCATGCTAGAATGTCCTCCTCCTTTCACAGAAGCCAAGAATTGGATGATCTCCTAGTAATAAAATCCCCTAGTGTGGATCAAAACAAGAAATGGTAAGTCTTATCTATCTACCTCTTTCTATCTGTCTAGCTATTTAATGTCTTAGAGATTTGCTGGCAAATGAGCTTTTCTTCCAACAAAAGAGGATATTTTATATACACTTTATGTTTATAAGGTATATATGAAAGCTACATGAATTTTGTTTTTAGACCTGGACCACATGGCCAAGATACCACCAAATACAACCCCCCCCCCCCAAAAAACAACAACAAAAAAACAAAGCCCAGAACATTTCTGGTTCCAAGCAATTCAGACAAGGGTTACTACTCACCCTATAGTTAGCAAATAACTCTCTACTCTAGTCATCTCCCCAAACCTGTTCCCCTCCTCCTGTTTCCCACCACCCCTGTCCAGTCTCCTTTTAGCTTTTAGTGTTCTGCTAGACCCTTAGGCAGCGAGCTGTTTTAAAAGAATGAGGTCTTTTCTGGAAATTTGGCAGCAGTAAAATGCCTTTGACTTCAGAGTCACCTCAAGGAAGAAGAGTAGGACTGCAGCCAAGGTTTGTATGTGATGAATGGGCTCCGTTCTTCGTTCTCAGAGCAGCCTTAGCCCAGTTGATTGGAGGAACAGTAAAGGGCCCTTGTTCAGGATGCATGTTCTGCATATAAAATGAGGACAGGCACTGAGCACCATTCATTTAGCTGGACCTTTAAAGTTTTGATGCACAAACAGGAGACATTCAGAGTAAAGCCAAATGAGCATGCCTTCTCTTTACAAAATCTCCCATAGATGTTCCCCTTTCCTGTTAATATTCTTCCTCCACATTTCTGTGACATTAAAAGAAAAACAGAATGAAATGAGTAAACTTACTCAAACTTTATCTTGCATAGGGCATCTGAACAAGGCTACAAAGCTTTCAACACACCATCCAAGCAGTCTGACACAGATCATTTATACCAGGTCACAAAAGGATCCAGGTACAGTGTTTGTAATCTAGCTTTGTTGTTGCTTCTCTTGCAAAATTCTAACTCTGGTAGGATTGCTTAAACTTTAATGGCACTCAGTTTTCCTGGACCTGCAATCTCCTTGTACATCCAGGTGTTTTAAATTGCCCATAGCATTTTCCTACCTATCAATGTCCCCGTTAAATTGCTGATTGCTATTCTATGGATATGGGATCATACAGTACTTCATCACCCTTTATGACATGTGGAACTGCAGTCCAATGGCTCTCTAGATTTTGATAAACAACAACAATAATAAACCAGTACAGGTGGTCACGGTGGTAATCGGCGCACTGCGTGCCATGCCAAAAGATCTAAGCTGGCATTCAGAAACAATAAACATTGACAAAATTATGATCTGTCAACTGCAAAAGGCCACCTTACTTGGATCTACGCACATCATTCAAAAATACATCACACAGTCCTAGACACTTGGGAAGTGTGCGACTTGTGATTTTGTGATACATAATCCAGCATATATATCTGGTTTACTGTGACATACTGTGTTTTTGTGTTAGTAAAATAATTAATTAATAATAATAATAGCTTTATTTTTGTATCTCCATGAAGGGACTAAGGGCAGCTTACATGGGGACGAGACAGAACGACATAGTTAAAATATAACACAATAAAATTAATAAAACAACATCATAAGACAATATAAAACAACAATCGAACAAACAACCAATAGCCTAACATAGTAAACAATTACTGAGCAATTATTCCCATCATCAGGCCAGATATAAAATGGATTTTAAAAGTCCTATGTTGTCCCTACTTCAGGTAAAGGGATAAAAGAGAAATAGTGGCTTCCAAGGGTTCATCTGTGAACTACCTTAAGCTACCATTTGATCAACATCTCATCTTTCCAACAAGCAATTCAAAAACATTTCCAAAATGCAATCAACAGCAAAGTCCCAAAGGATAGCCAATGAAACCTAAAATAAGATGTTATTATACTTTGACATTGGCTCTTTTCATTGTTTCTATATTTATTTTTAGAGAATGAAGCTCTTTACATTTTTGTGTGTATTTCAGCTATAATGGCTCAAGCAATCATTCCCATCCAAAGAACACTACTGTGTACACAAGAACATATGAAAATAGGTACCAGAAAAATACGCACCGTCTCCCTCCCCCATCTTTCCTTGTACCTGTATACTAATTCCAAAAAAGAATGGTTTTAACACTTTTTGTTTAAATATAAGCTATATTATTTTTGAGCTATGGCATGCCTAACCTGTGAGTTCTGTTTCCTTGCATGTATAATAACAATGGCATCAGAAAAATGTCTGGGATTTTATGACATCCTAGAATTATATGTGAATGCTAAATGCAAGCCAGAAAAGATGAGAGAGAAAGGCCTGGAAGAGGAGATCAATATTCACAGGCTCCAGCCACACTTGGAGCATCCATCTAAGCTTTCTTAAGCTCATTGATTCCCAAAGGGTTTAGCATGTATAATGCTGGCCTGGGTTGTGACCGAGGTGTATTTTAAGTGTATGTATGTAGCAGCGCGTGGGAAGAAATATTTGTGAAACAGTAGTAAGGCAGATAGTTTCAATGTCATTGAGGTGGTCAATCCACTCTGAAATTTAGCTGAAACTTGAAAAGTGCTAACCCAACTCCTAAGGCAGAATTCAATACTTTCAATAGCTCTTTTAAAATTTGCACTAAAACCCAATTCATCATTCTACTGATAGTCAAGCCGCAACATAGAAAAATGTAGGTTAAGTGCAACTATTATGCAACAGAATTTAACTGAAGGCCAAATAAAATTGTTTTACAAATATGCACAAACATGTTTATTTGGAGCTCTTTCATGGAAAGCAAGAGATAAAAGTAATTTCTTTCCACACTCATTGCTTCTGTGATCCCAGTTACTTTTCTGGAAACATTTTCAACCCTCCCGTTTCAAAACATCCATCTTTGTGTGGCCACAAGAGAAAGAAAGATAAAATATGTGTATGTTTAGATATCTGATGAAGACTTCATAATAAACACATTCTGCTAAGCACCAATGGGTTGGTTATAAACAGTCTCTGCCAGGGTACCATCTATACCAGCATATTTTCATACAAAGAGACATTTGTCTGGCACTATAAGTTTTGATTCCACTTTAAATTATGCCCTACATAAAATTTGCCTTTTTAAAGAGAATAACCACAACAAAAAACACCTGCCTTGATCAGTCACAGGCTCTCAGTGTATATGGGAAACCCTGGGCTTTGTTTTAACCCACTGTGTCTTCTTTTACACAAAGTTATACCAGAAAGGAGAGATCCTTTTGGAGCTCTTTGTAATTGGTGCTTTTTCTTAAAAGCCTAAATAATTTATTGTCACTTGGTCATTTCAGTCCTCACTCATAACTCCAGATGTGACATGTTAAAATGCTGTAGTTAAAAGAATGTTTCTTGTCAGCAAATTCCATCTGAAGTCTCAGATAAACACATTTAAGACTCAGATAAACATGTTTTAGATTAAATAACAATGGCCTGACATGACTAAAACTTGGCCTGAAAGTGTATATCAAGACATTTTGACATATATTTCAATGAATAAAGCAATAACTTATCTCCTATTAAAGCAGTGGTTCTCAGCCTGTGGGTTCCCAGATGTTTTGGCCTACAATTCCGAGAAATTCCAGCAAGTTTACCAGATGTTAGAATTTCTGCGAGTTGAAGGCCAAAACACCTGGGGACCTACAGGTTGAGAACCACTGTATTAATGAAAGGAAGCTGAGGAATAGAATTATAAAAAATATGACTTCATTCATGTATTGCTATCCAGTTGAAGCTTATCCAGGGTAGTTTACTGTGTTTCAGCCAAAGCAAGAAAATCTTATGACACTTTGAATACCAATATATTTATTTTGGCACAATCTTTCTGCATGCCATTTCTGTCTAACTTCACTTTTTACAATCTCCTTGGTGATTGTATGGATCTCTTTCAGTAAATCAAACTAATGCTTCATACATCTGATGTAGGAAACCTCAATCCAGAAAACCATTGGCATGATAAAATTGTTAGCTTTTGAAAGGTGCCATAAGATGGCTCCAGTTTAGTCTTCATTTCCTATTTTTGCATGAGTATGTGTATGTTTTCCACTAATATATAAATAAACTGCTGGGTTTGTGAGCCCTCAATTGATCCTCAAAGAAATAACACACTGTCTGGTAAAACAAAACAAAAATCCATGTTCTAATTTTCTCTTCTCATTTTGAGCCTTCCATATGTTTGTACTATGCTGAATGTTTTTCATGTATGACATTGTTGTGTGTTTCATAGTTATTTTGGAAAACAGTTGTTTCTAAAATGATACGTTTTAAAGAGATATATCCTCTAGGTCAGTACTTCTCAACCTGGCGGTCAGGACCCATGGGGGGGTCATGAGGAGGTGTCAGAGGGGTCACCAAAGACCATCAGAAAACACAGTATTTTCTGTCTGTCATGGGGATTCTGTGTGGGAAGTTTGGCCCAATTTTTGATTGTAGGTGAACTATAAATCCCAGCAACTACAACTCCCAAATGTCAAGGTCTATTTTCCCCAAACTCCACCAGTGTTCACATTTGGGCATATTGAGTATTCATGCCAAGTTTGGTCCAGAACCATCATTGTTTAAGTCCACAGTGCTCTCTGCATGTAGGTGAACTACAATTGCAAGCACTCAAGGTTCATGCCCACCAAAACCTTCCAGTATTTTCCGTTGGTCATGGGAGTTGTGTGTGCCAAGTTTGGTTCAATTCCATCATTGGTGGAGTTCAGAATGCTCTTTGATTGTAGATTAACTATAAATCCCAGCCACTACAACTCCCAAATGAAAAAAATCAGTCCCCCCTCCAGTATTCAAATTTGGATGTATTGGTGCCAAATTTGGTCCAGTGAATGAAAATACATCCTGCATATCAGATATTTACATTACAATTCATACTAGTAGCAAAATTACAGTTATGAAGTAGCAATAAAAATAATTTTATGGTTGGGGGTCACCACAACATGTGGAACTGTATTAAGGGGTCGCAGCATTAGGAAGGTTGAGAACTACTGCTCTAGGTGCAATCTTCATTCTCTGCAGCTCTACTGAAATTAATGGGAAATTAATGGGAAATTAATGAGAAAGCAAGGCTCTTGCCTTTTTTATCATGTAAACCTCATTCTTCCCTTGCCCCCACTTTATCCTTTTACGTTGATCTTTTTTAAAAGCAACTTTTTTCTCATGCGGCTGCTTATTTCTGCAATCTGCCCTTGGGTTTGTCTGGATGACTTTGATGCTGACTGATCACAGGCTACCTTCACTAGAGTGCAAACTTGGAAAAAATAGAAAATTATTGTTACTCATTTAGCATGTGTTCATTGCATTGCAGTCGATTTCCCTACGATGTTAATGAAGACAGCATCTCTGGAAAATCTATTAAAACTGTGTACTCTACTTCTGATAGGTATGTAAATCTATCTCTGTCTTTCTGCATATGTATCTACAGTGTATGGGAGAAATAAAAATCTGATCTACATTCCACAGATAAAATCCTAGACCAAGTAACATTAGAATGTGGTCAGGATGCAAAAATTATTACTGAGGAACAAGAGAAAAGCAGCCGTTCGCTTTTGCCTGTGTTTACTGGGAAGGGCAAGATTCTGGCCTCTCCTCTACTTTTCCCTGCTGAGTTAATTGAGTGCAAAACTGCTTTTGTGCTTTGAGCCCAGTTTGTATCTACTAAAGCCCAGTTTGTATCTAGCTAAGGACAAAGGGAGAACATGGAAGATTGAAACTAGAACATTTAAAAGCAGATGAAAGGTGGGGTGACAGAGGATTAATTGGGACGGAGTCTACCAAAGTGGGACAGCTAGGGTATACTGTAGGGAAGGGAGAGAAAGCACAAGAAAGCCAAATATGGAGGTGTATCTTGAAAGTTTTACCCCTTACTTCTGTGCCCCTCTTCAGAAGATTTCACCTCACTTTCACCTGGCTGTGATAATTGGATTTTGAAAAAATTGGCTTGTTGTGGAAACAAGGATTGGAGAGAGAAAAAATTCTCCATGATAACTCTTCCAGGAGTGAATTTCCCTTATGAGGAGTAATTTCTCTCACTTCCTGTTGTCTCACCCCGGGTCTTAACCATTAGTCATTTGTAAGTCGGATGTATGTAACTCAAGTACTGCCTGTTTTCCCAAGGAAGGAGCCAAAGGAGGAGAACAAAATGAAGGTGTTGCCCCTCATAAAAAGTCTGCTCCCCAAATGAAAGTTTCCTTCAGTCCCAAAATTTCTAGCATTGCAATACCTGAAAACTTCAATTGCACATTTAGAAATATTATTTAGCAAGCATCTCATTCTTACAATGCTAAAATTTTGAGAACTGAAAGAACATTTTATTGGTGGGGCTCATTTCCCCCCCTATAACCAGAACCCTGACTGTTCCCATGTTTGCACATGAATAGATTTCACATAATTTCTATACATTTATTATTCATTGACTGATTTGGTTTATATCCTACCTCTCTGCTTATTTAATCCAAAAGCAATTAAAACACAAAATAGAGTTAAGACATTATTTTAATGGATGTTCTCTATGTACACAATTGTACACCATTTAACAGATGTACTCTATCTTTTCTCACCTTTGGACGTTCGTCATTATTTTCTTGGATCCATGACCACCACATCTCTTTTCTACTTTTCTGACTTTCCTATAAAATGAATGTTCTCCTACTTTCCATGTGAATATTTTTCTCTTTTTCTTTCTCTTTTACTAATGATGATATACCAATAAAGAACTATACTAAAAAGACCAGATGTACTCTATAATTGGCGACCACACATGAGGTTTGATCTTTAAAAGGGATAAAACCTATCTCCATGGTGCCAAGGAATGGACATGAACTGTGATCCTGAATCAGAAGGCACATGTGTATTATGTAGCAACATCTCCCTAGCTACATCTTTTAGTGCTACCTCCAAACACACATCTTGTAAGCAGGGCAGCAGGATAATTTGGGATCATGGACAGAACGTGATTTACGATGGTATAACCATCATAATCCATTAAGACCCCTTTCAGGATCTGATCTCAGATAATCTGCTTTAAACTGGAATATATGAGTCCCCACTGCTGATAACCTGGGGTAAACAGATAATCTGGAATCAGATCCTGGGATAAAAGGGCAGTGTGGAAGGGCCCCCAGAGAATGTCAGCCACATTTTTTCATTAATACTTTGACCAAAAAAGAGAAGCTTTTTACATTCTGTGTGCAACCTTGACTCCTTTATATGGCGGCTTGCTTAGGAGAATTTCCAGGAGGCTTGTGCCTTCTGCCTCTAGAGAATTCAAACTTGGTAACCCTGTAAGATATGACTATTGGCATGTAGTTAATCATGTCATTCAGGAATGGGTACGTGAGCTTACTTGTGGCCATCTGCAGAGCCCTCTGCTCCTGACTTTCTGTTCTATAATAAACTCCATCATTTTCCTTTACAGGGCCATTATTGAAAAAGAAATGTGCACCTACTGCCGGAAGCCCTTGGGTTTGGATACCAAGATGATTCTTGATGCCTTGCAGATTTGCTGCCATGCATCTTGCTTTAAGGTAGGAGCACAGTACTGACAGCCATAGAAGATACATGTGCTCATTGTGTCATTTGGACTTGTGCACTCCTGGTATCTGATCTCATAAAACATGTTAAGCTTTTTGCAAAGGTTTATTTGAGTTCTTTTCTAGTAAATATGATCTGTAGAGATTCTCTGGCCTAGTTTGGACAAAAAAACTATTCAATTGTAACAGATAAGGTTATGTAAATAAACCTCTCCCCTCCCCCTTCATGTTACGGTAGTGAGAAAGAAACTGAAAGCATTTGATTCTATTAAAACTCATAATAGTTTGTCTCAGTCTAATCTGGGAACTGTAATCCTACTTTACTCAAACAAGCCAGGATGGTGAAGTAGAGTTGAAATTGGCTTATTTAACCCATATTTAAAACTGGCTACAAACATGCAAAACAAAGTTAATTAAAAATGCTTTTAAAGTCTTCAGCCATCAAAGGTGAATAGGGACTGAAGCTTATTTATATTTTTGGGGAAATTATGCCATAACCTTTTGGGAAATGGAAATCTCCATAACCTTTTGGGAAATGGCATTTATTACCATTTGAGAAAACAGGTATCTCCCTGAGAAAAGTTAAACACTTGCTTGAGTCAACCTTCTCGCTAGTGGTAAATACATTCATGCAAGGCAGTTAGGTTTCAAAGCTGCTAAACTGATATACCTAGATATCTCTTTGAACTGTTAGGGACAAATATATGCCATGCATGTGTGTGTGTGTATGTGTGTGTGTGTGTGTGTGTGTATATATATATATATATAGAGAGAGAGAGAGAGAGAGAGAGAGAGAGTTTCCGAAGTGTTATTTTCAATTGCCCAGAACATTTTCAATTGCCTTAAAACATCTTGGTTTACATCATGCTCTCAAGAGATCAAAAATAAGTAGACTTCTTTAAAAAATAACACAGTTGGTTTATGTAAATATGCATGCTTTAGCCAACCCAACTATAAAGTGAGAAAAAGAGAGAAAGTGTGAGGGGAAAATGAAAGCAAGTTCAGTTTATGATAACCCTGACAATATAGGATCACTGGAATCCAAAGATGAAGATACACACTAGTTTGACCAAGAATGAAGCTCCTTGTAGGTTCACTGACTGAGGCAAGTAGGATAGTTATTACTCCTATTGCATCACTTATAAATAAAACCACTATTTTGATTGGAGGAGGAATTAGATCTTTTAGTTGATTGGCTAAACAATGGTTGGAAGAAATATAAAACAGAAGCTTCTTGAGCACCAAAGTACCAGATCTTGCCATCAGCAAACTGGTTCATTTCTAAGGTGCTGTTGCCACGTGATCACTGATAACCATGTTTGTGTCGTGTTATTTATGTTTCTACTCACAATACTTTGAGTGATGGCAGAACACATATAGCTCAATGGTACATCACATGCCATGTTTTCATGAGGTATGAGCTTCAACTAATAGGACTGTCCTATACTTTCAACAAAATCTGCCAATCAGGAGGCATCCCTACTGTAGATATATAAATGATCTAACACAGTATAAGATATCTTGAAATGTAACCAAATTAATTTTGCCAGAATCCCATGTGGCAACTACAAATGGATAACAGACCCTCATGGATCTAAACCAATTGATTCAAATAGTTCTACCCTAATTGGGACTAACAATAGTATTTAGGCTTAATGTGTCATTTTCCTCCCATTTTTCCAGTTGTACTTTATCCATTTTCAAACTTCACATTGTTTTCCCCAATTGCAGTCTGGACCGAGTGCAAAAAAACATAAACAAAACCTGATTGGAGTAATGCATGTTTTCACTGCAGTAGTTTGCAGACTGAATAACTGGCATATACAGTTTTTGAAAGATTAGGCAGGCCCACCTGAGGCCCTTGCACAGCTGCTACTACTACTGAAAAGAAGACAATACTACTCTAGGTGGACAAAAAATCTGACATGGTACAAGGTATTCTACCATCACCCTTTGGCAAGGTGACATGCAATATCCACATACTGGGAGAACGAAAAAAATATGGAGATATTGGCCACACAGCTGAATAAAATCCCACATTCTCTGCTTTGAGCTGGAATATATGGCAGTGTGGACTCAGATAACCCAGTTCAAAGCAGATATTGTGGGATTTTTTGCCTTGATATTTTAGATTATATGGTTGGGTGGAAGGGCCTGTTGTCTTTAAATTAATTTGTTACCTGAATCGGAATCCAGTAAAGCATCAGTTGCTGGACAGATCCTATCAGAAGAATTGGGAAAGAGGAATAACCCCTTTCTCCACTGCAACTTCCTATGGACTTCTGAAGTGTACTCTTGGGAGCTAAGGAAATCCTCCTGTGAGGGTTATGTACCAGCCATGAGAAGTGAAGCAGAAAGGATAGAAGAAAGTTATATTGGGTTGGTTCTGCTGTGCTGTCACATTATTCAGTGATTATAATTCTGGTGGTGCTTATGAATTCAATTTCAGGATAAAAAGAAGCCCTCATACGCTATTCGTTAAGATCATAGATCTAGTAATAGCATAGTGCTTTCATAAATTAATTCTTACATTTCTTTTTTTTTCCAAGTGTGAAGCCTGTGAAACACCATTGGAGAACCTGAAGGCTGGAGACAGCATTTGGATTTACAAGAACACAGTGCATTGCACCCCCTGCTATTCTAAAGTGAAAGGTAAACTTGCATTGAATAAGCTTGTGCACAGATTCAGAGTGGTCAGTTCCCTTCAGCTAATCTGACTGATCCGGCTTGTTCAGTTGGTTGTAATGGCAAGGCTCAGCCTCCATGTTATTTTCGGCCACAGCAGAACAGTGGTTGTTGAAAATTGGCTGCCTTTGGTTACAAGTGGAGTGAGGGAAGGAAGCAGCTGCTAGAAGGAAAAGCACAAGGTTGGGGGGATGGGGAGAAATCTCTTCAGGGCCTGCAAATCAAGAGAAAAGAGAGGGCTTTTTAAAGGAAGCCCAGAGTAAGATAGCTCCATGCCGGTAGCTCTTCCTTCCCTGCCCTGGCAAGTGGGCATTCAAGCCTCCTTAAAATGCCTTGGAAAGCTGTGTGCTGCAGGGAGAAAGCGTCATGCGAGCCTGCATCGCCTGCCTCCTCTAGAGTAAAAACAGCTTTAACTAAGCATTAAACCTGATTTTTTTCTACACACAGAAGAGAAATGATAGCAGAAAGAATGATATCTTAGTTCTGATTATTATAATCCAGGTCTTAATGAAGGATATAAGGACAAACAATACCCAAAATGATAGGAAGGGGAGCCTGGGAAGTACTCCCCCCCCCCATAATGGGCCAGACAGAAACAAATATTTTGGCTTCCCTTGTAAAAAAAGGATTTGTGTCCTCCTGAATTTGGGAGGCTTCTGAAAAACAGATCGAGAGCCCCACTGGAATCTGGGATGCCGAAACAGGTTGCAGTTTACCCGGATTGCACAAGTCTAGTACTGAAGTCACCTCATAAATTAAGTTATTCCACTCCTAGGAAGGCAAACAATTCATTGTGTCTAAATGTTCTCTGAGACCTACTGCCCACTTTTTAAATTTCAAATTATTTTCATAATTTCTTTTATAATATTTTCATTTTTTAGATAATTTGGGTTTACATCTCAGATTTTTTTTTTTTACCCAGACATCAGTTCACATTCTAGAAACTTTTCCCCCAGTAAAACCACATCAATATTGGTGTGGGTCCCTTTCACACAGCTGAATAAAATCCCACATTATCTGCTTTAAACTGGAATGTAGGGCAGTTTTGGACTAGAATATATGACAGTGTGGACTCAGATAACCCAGTTCAAAGCAGATAATGTGGGATTTTCTGCCTTGATATTCTGGGTTATAGGGCTGTGTGGAAGGGCCCTTGGTAACAGGAAAACAAAGGCTGCCGCCCTCAAATTGACTGCAAGCAAATGACAATAAACAAAATGAAAGAGATTTGCCTGATATACATTTTAATTCAGAATTAGATCATTCTGATTGTCTTTAATGTGTATTTCTTAGATCAAAATTAAATCTAATGGGTTTCTTTGGGATTTATGTTTTGCTCTTAGATTAAACAAAGGAAAACATATATCTGCCTACTAATTATCCATAATCATAGCAAATGCTGCAGTAGCAATATTAAAATGATGTTGACATTCATTGGAATGCCTCTGAGTTTCTGAATATTCATGATATTTGTACAAAATTGACAGTGTTCATATTCTCAACATATATTTTATACTGGATATATAAAATTTAAAAATTAAGCACCAAGTCCTTTTTTCATTGATTTGTTTTTACTTTTAAAAGTTGCATAATTCTTCACATTATTGTTTCTAATATATATTTTCTTTATGCCTACAGCATCATGGGTTTACTAATCTTTACTGACGTCAGATCAAGCATGAACTCGGATGAAAAGCTACATGCATTTTATCTTGGAAAGTCATTATTTTTAAAAGGATGAGTGAAATATGCTAACAATTGCCATAAGCAGGAAACACTTCAGGAGATACAAATGACAGACAACTTCTTCAAGGAAAACATCAAATACCAGAAGCTTAAAAGATATCTATGTTAGCAGCAAGAAATGTCTAAGACTTCACTCCTATGTGAACTTAACTAGGAGTAATCTCAGTTAAACCCAGTAGGGTATACTTCTGAGTAAACATGAATGATAAATATATCATGAGATGTTATCTCTTTTGATCTTGACTAAATTTATATTTTGTTTTCATATTCATGGCAAGTTCACACATGCATCTTCCATCAGTGAGTGACTTGCATGTGTGAATGAGTCACCACAACTATATTTTAATTTGAGCACAATTATAGTGGGCTTCCATTCCAAGTTGTGCTTTAAATCCTTCATCTTTATGCAAGTACGCTGGCTTCAATCCTCAATTAGCCTCTCAAAGTCAATGGGTAATAGTAGGTATGGCTGGTTGTAGATCAAGTAACTTCTCTGGATTGAGGTCAGTGTCTTTTTTTTTTTGGATTGGGGCCAACACCACACCAATCTCAAAGAAAAGAAGCAGCAATAGCCAGGCCATCTGCAGCATCAGATTTGATAAAACCAGTGGGTTTCCTCAATAATGACTTGTTGTTTGGTCAAGGATTCTGGATGGGATCTTTGATAGACAAGCTGAGTGAGGTATGCTGGGCACTGTCGTCCTTTAAGTAACTTTTCCAAAGTTTCAATGGGGTGGTACATGGGATGGAAAATAGTGAGTTGGCTATTATCAATAGAGGGAGAACCAGACTATACGTCTTGAGACTGGGACTTATTTGGACATACACACATGCATTCACAACTCCTTTATTAAAATCTATGACCAGATCCAATGATCCTACAAGCACTTAGCTTCCTGTATCTCAATGTTAAATATTTCAGGGATGAGGACCCTGTTATACTGTAATTGTGTAATATATTTTTAAAGTGATGCTTTTACCAATGCACTATGCAGTTATGAACCTTGATGTATGTATTCCTTTCTTTAAGTATATGCAAGCAGCTTAGCACACCTGGTGACAAGGAGTATAAAAATATCTTTGATGAGAAAATGAACTAGAGCTAAGTATCAAAAAATACAACTATAAATAAAATATTGTTTTAAAAATACTTAATTTTAGCATGTTTTGTGAAATGTCATGTACAGCGATGGCACTGTATAAAGACATTATTGTTATTATCATCATTTCAGTTAGGCCAACAACTTGATAACAAGCTATTCATTATGAAGTTGACTTGCTTCAGCCAACTGTAGTTAAGGTTCCATTATAACCAACTGTTTTTCATACACAGACCAAAGCAAATTCTTTCAGTTTCTTTGCAGCCATGGCACAGGAGGAATGAATCTGAGGAGGCTGTACCTCAGTCCTTCCATCACAAACCATAGTTTGTCATAGCATCTGAATGCAGTCATTGAAATTTAAGTTTCAGTGTCAAGTTCATTGTACCTGCTCATATATAACCAAACAGAAATAGTATCTCACTGACATAGTATGTGATATGGGATGAAGTGGGAGAACACAGAGTGTCACAATACTCATGTTACTAGTATTTTATTTGTTCCTTGTATTCTTACTCTATTAATGTTGCTTGAAGTTGATTTTTGCCATTCCAGAATCATTGCAATAAAAGAGCGATCAAGTGTGACAATGCAAGAATACATTTTTGAAGAAAGAAAAAAGATTTAACAGCTTCTCCACAACAGACTACTAGCAGCCTTTATTGTAGCCTTTAAAGCTGCAGAATTAGGGGTCAGTGTAGGTCAAATTTATTTATTTAATTCACAGATGGTTCCAGAAAGGTAGCCTGCAAATTACTGATGGGAAGTTTCCTTATATTAATAGTAAGAGCCAGCTCTGCCAAGTTGCACCTAGGCCATTAGGCTCATTTTGTAGCCTGCCTTGGAAAGGTCTTCCAGTCCTGCCTTTTGGACTTGCAATTGTTTATCAGAATGAATTACATTTCTGGACAAGCTGAGACCCCCTTCACATGTTAATCGCACAACAAAAAGGAGTAGAGGCTAGAGTAGTGTGCTAAACCTGATTTCATTCATACATTCATTCTTTTGTTCCTTTTGTTTTGTTCCCTTCTGGAGCACGAAACGGGAAGCCCCCTCCCGGTATGAAAATCAGCTCAACATGAAAGCAAACTGGAGCCAATAACCAATAAGGCAACATAGCAGGCAGGAGAATATATGCCCCCACCTCTGCCTAAGAAAGCTTAAAGGATAAATGAAAGCCAATGCATTCAGCTGACATTTTGTGGCCCTTGGTTGAGTGCACTTCTTGGCTTCACTCTCCTCCGACACTTCCTCCATGTCTTCACAGACATAGTGGGAAGACCCTTTTTCTCAGTTTGCAATTCCAGAAACTATGGCTTCAGCGCAAGGTGTCCAATTGTGACAACTGCATAGCATTTTTGTATCAAATGAAGGGCTAATCTAAATTATGCAGTTTGGCTTTTGTTGCCCTCAAACATCATTTAATGTAAATTATACAAGATAAGGTAAAAGTAAAGGTTTCCCCTTGACATTAAGTCTAGTCGTGTCCAACTCTGGGAGGTGGTGCTCACCTCCATTTTTAAGCCGAAGAGCCAGCGTTGTCCATTGACACCTCCTAGGTCATGTGGCCAGCATGACTGCATGGAGTGCCATTACCTTCCGGAAAGCGGTACCTATTGATCTACTCATATTTGCATGTTTTCAAACTGCTAGGTTGGCAGAAGCTGGGGCTAATAGCAGGAGCTCACCCTGCTCCTTGGATTCAAACCGTGACCTTCTGATCAGCAAGTTCTACAGCCTAGTGGTTTAACCTGCTGTGCCACCATTGCCCTTACGCAGGATATCTAGATTCATTATTTTTACCAGATGAGAACTACCCTACAAGTAATTCAGAAACTAAAGTTAGGAAAAAGCATCTATTGTGTCTGTTTTAGTTCACTGTCATCTCTGCAATATATGGGCCCTGACTTTCCCCCCACAAGAACAGAGACTGGCACAAACAATGAGGACATGTTCATGGTTTCACTTGTTCATCCTTACTGAACAGCTGCAGCACTTGCAATGTGTATTTTATTGCTCTTATTGTAGGTTGCCTAAAGAATAAGCCAAGAAAGGAAAGATGTTTCTGTGAATACTAAAACGTTGCACATAAAAGGAAGGGACAATGATGCAGAATCTCATATTTCTATAAAAAACGAAAGAAAAAAAATCAATGTTGACATTTTTAAAAAGGTTTTTTTTTTAAAAAAAAAACCCCTATTTTGCATATCACTCGAGCTGAGTGTTTCATTTTCCTTTGATGGCTCCTTTTTAGAAACAGCCAAAGGAATAGTTTGCTGGCAGCTGTTTTAATGAATGGCTTGTCTTCAATAATGCATTAATTTAGCTACATTGAGGAATGCACTCATAAATTACAGGGATATTGGTGAGTCATCAAATCCATTTTCCCAACTACATAATAAAGCCACTTCTTCATTTGATAAATCAGAGGCACAATATCAAAAGGAAAGGAACCTGAAAAGGAATGACTTTCCCCACTATCTCCATTATTTATGTTTCCAGACTTGGAGTGGAAAAAGAGGGTGAGTGTAATATTCTAAGCATGTGAAATGTCTTTCTGCAGTGGTTAACTCTTAAGTTTTGAAGTTGCAGGAAATGATAAGACTATCACTGTCCGCCTATTGTCTGTCATAGGCATGGGTAAACTTCAGCCCTCCAGGTGTTTTGGACTTCCACAATTCCTGAGAGTTGGATAATCTGCTTATCCCAGATTATCTGGCAGTGTAGACTCATGTAATCTAGTTCAAAGCAGATTATCTGCAATCAGATCCTGGGATATAGTACAGGGTAGAAGGGACCTAAGGTAATCTGTTCCACTGTCAAACAGCCCTTATAGTCATGTTTTCCCTAATGTTTAGGAGGAATCTTCTCTCTTTGCATTTCAATCCATTGATTTGTGTTCTGATCTCTGGAGGAGCAGAAAACAAGACCACTTTTATATGAGTGTTATTCAAAATAGTGGCCCATTGATTTTGAGCCATTGAACCTGGTAAATTTCCAGGAAATAAGGAAACAGTTGTAGCCAATAAGTACAGATATGATGCCAATTGCTGGCACTTTGAGGGAAAAAACTGCTGATCCTCCACATCAAATAGTCTGAGAAGCTCTGTTCTACACAAACTGTTTAAAAACTGCACAATTAAAACAATCCAATGCCCTCTTAAGTCTATATATATATATATATATATATATATATATATATATATATTACACACACACACATATATATGGTTAATGCATCAAAACATCTCATCTAGATTAAGTTTCAATACATTTGCCTTCCTCTAGTACATTGTAGATGCCAGGCACTGTTCCAAACCTTTTCATCTAAGGCCCCAGCTACACTGCTACTAGCTAACTCCAATACATATCTAGGTCTCTTTCTGTGGAATCACTCACCTACTAATGTCTTTGTGATGGAATAAGACAGAAATCAAAATAGGCAAACACTTCTGATTCTGAAGGAGATTCTTTTGCATGTATTGCAATGAATGGGAGCTGTGACTTGGAGCTGAGCTGTAGAAATATGCAATTGCAGAAAGCCTTGGGGTTCACTACTACATCTGAGGATAATTTGAAAGAAGTTGTGCATAGAAGCAACTAAGCTATAATACAATATACAACATATTGGTAAGCATCAGAATATATTTTACTAAGTATTACAAAAAAATAGGTTTTTACGAAGTATTAGAAAAAAATAGTTTTTTTAAGGAAACTAGGTTTTACTATAAATCTAAAGAGCACTAAGAAAAGCAGAATGCATTGTTCTGTGGTTCAGAGATACCAGAAGAACTTGGGACTCTTAATGAAAGTCCATAGGAACCATAATAATGTCCTTAAAGCAACTGTAATGTTTACAAACATGCAAGCAGTATGCAATGGAACAAACTGGAATTACTATAATTTATTTATTTACCATATTTTCTCAACCCTATAGAGGGCTCAAGGCAGCTTACATATATAGGCAACATTTCGATGCCATGTAAACATACATACATATTAAAATAAACATATACATTTAAACAGTCATTAAAACAAATCAAACCTTAAAACACTTATTAAAAATCACGTTATCCAAAATCATAATCCATGGCTGTTCCAAATTATCATTGCACTATTCCATATTCTGTAGTGGGTTACTAATTGAACATTTGATCCCACATCCATGTCTTTAGCTTTTTCCTGAAGGTCAGGAGGGAGGGGGCTGATCTGATTTTGTTAGGGAGGGAGTTCCATAGCTGAGGGGCCACTTGCGAAGGAGGTGGGACCAAGAGCAGGGCCTCTCCAGACTATCTTTACCTCTTAGCTGGCTCATAGAGGGCAATACGTTAGGATAGGTAAACTGGGTCAGAACCGTTTATGGCTTTATAGGCTTAAAGCCAGCACTTTGAATTGTGCTTAGTAGCAGACTGGCAGCCAGTAGAGCTGACGTAACAGAGGAGTTGTATGCTCCCTATACCCCACTCCAGTGAGAAATCTGGCTGCTGCCCATTGGACTACTTGAAGCTTCCAAACAGTCTTTAAAGGCAACCCCACATACAGCGCGTTGCAATAGTCTATTCACGATGTAATCAGAGTGTGGACCACCATAGTTGGTAGCAGCTATACAGAGCATAACCTTTCTGTTAAAACTTTCCTGACAATTTACCTGCAGGGTCACAAAGCCTATTGAGGAAAAAGTCAAAGGCACTTAAGGGGCATTAAAACCCTTATGCCAAACCCAAGACTATTCATTAGGGAACACTTAGGTGTGCCTAGAGATGAATGGGTTCACAATATAACCCATAGCCAGAAAGTAAGGCTATTTTTTAAACACAAGGCAATATGTGAGGTTGATTTCTTTTTAACTTTGTAGGAATAAAGGAAAATTAAAATAATAAACATCCTTACTTCTCCCCATTCTACTCAGATGTAAAGAATTTCCCCTCTAGCACTGTGAACACTTACTCTAGATGGAAAGAAAGAAGGCCAGATGAAGTTTGCATATTTTCAGATGAAGAGAATCTGAATTCAACAGAGGAATCCAGGATGAGAGAGACTTAAGGCTGGA